GCAATATGTTTTAATGAGATCACCACCTTTACTGAATTGTAGAGTTTTAGGGTATAGGGGCCCTGACATGTCGCACATCTATCATTGTTGTTGTAGTATATATTTTTTATTATTGTCGCCATGGAATATGTCATATGTTTGCTAACCATTGTCTGTTAGTCAAAGCCTTCCAGCGACAAAATAAAGGCAAAAAGCTCTGTTTAGTGCTACATGAAAGGTGTTGAAACCAATGTAACAAACCTAGCACATATGAAAGCTTGATCAAATCTTGCCGTCAAACAGTTGCATCTGCTCCTGTTTCCTGGACACTTCACGTGCCAGAATACTATTCTTTATATATCTTATACAGGATCTTGCAAAAGGCAATGAATGATTCACGGAAGAAACTAAAGTTAGTTTCTGTGATGACCTGTATATCACGTGGTTGGGCAGGCCTACTTCCCACACCACAATCCTTGTACGATAGTGTTTCTCCTCCCATAGTTGAATTCAGTTGGAAATGCTACCATATCAAGTTATATACCGTGGAATAGCTATCTATGAATGAGCAGTCATCACCGCTTCTAGTCTCTTTCTACCGGTTCGAGTAATAGGTAAAGGTGAGTATTGGGATACCGCTGATGTTGAAAAGGTTCAACCACCTCATGCTCGTTCATTTTTACCGCGCCCTGAACTTATCCATATATGAAGATAGGGATGCTGCTGTCTAGTCATGCCCAAACCCTCCAACATTGAAGATGATCATGCTGAACCTTCTATGGTTTAGTTTATAATTCTAGATAGAATCCACGAGTGTAGGTTGTGACGCCGAGTTTTGGAAGCACCTACAATCATCCGCAATATCCGCAGCTGCGATCCTTCCCGGCGAGCAGCCGTGACAAAAAAATGGCTCTTCTTTTTGTTACGCTGATATCTTAACGATTGCATGCACAACACTGTTCTGAAAGCATACAACTATTTCTTCCAAAATCATGGCATGTCACATAGACTCTAGCGACCATATTGTATTATAAGGGCACGTAGAGACCTCCACACAAGGATTTCAATTTCGATCAATGGCGTATTACACACCCATTTACATATATGAGTCCATATAACTGAACAATGGACTTGAAGGCTATACTACTCCCCGTAAAAATTCCATGACATACACTACCAAATTATTTCCAATCCCTAGTGCCTAGTGTCAAGTCGTAAATAGTCTAAATATAGCTAGTCATCTATTGCTGTATAGTGATCTGATCAATTTACCTCATGAAGCCTAACTGGAGGTGGGCTAGTGCGGACTCTAGTGGTAGGGATTGCACTGTCCCGAAGTGTTGACCATGGAAACATATTCCGGGAAGTACTGTACGGTACACGATTACGGTGCATCTAAATTCCAGATCGTGAAGCATCGCTGTTATGGATATCTTCTACCTGCCTTTCGATATACCAGTCGATTTGTTTCGAAGAGTCACCCATTTGACCCCAAGCTTCAAGTCCTACACACGCTTTGCAAGACCAAGCTAGAGTGAGACAACACGATAGCGTGGATGATGTTGGCCTTCATATGAGAGCAGCCAGTCCTGCTGGGCTGCTGAACTGCCGAGTTGACACGATAGATGTCGCCGCAACCACATCAACAATACAATATGGAGGCTACCGTGGCCCAACAGGCCCCCACAATGACCAGTTGCGACTATCTAGTACCAATACAAAACAGGCAACGAAGTCTAGAGTAGCCTCACAGCCTCTTCTTTTAGCTCCCACGTTATACTGGGTGTTCCTTTCACAAAGCCTAAACCACGGGAAGTGGAACAACAGCTACTTGTACATACCTGCTACTATTCAGAAGCGTTGGGTAAGCTTTCACTGAGGCCCCCCCACCAAAGCTACCAGTTACTGGCCATATTTGTCAGTACATGTCTGCTTTTCCCATCTAGTCTTATCCACAGAGCCTTCTGTTTCTAAGCTAGTATTGTTCAAGGCTGGCCCATTAACAGACCACCAAGCTCTGGGTTATTGAGTTATATTCCCAGTTGATCCACATTGCGTGAACCCTCTTCGTATATCGCATCGACAACGTGGGAGAGAAGCCTATACAAAGCAAGGGAAAGGGCGAAACTAGCAGGAATAGAGGACCATCCTGGCCCGGCGTCGGTGAGTACCTCTCAGACGGTAGCCTGAAGGGGCTGAGGGCTGGGAGGGGCATCATACAACAATGGGCCGATATCTAACGGCTCTTATATAGTTGATTACAGCATCAGAACCGAGTATTGAGAGATATAAAGGCAGGTTGGTATCTTCTAAGTTAATCTATCTCTACCAGTCTCAAAAATCCCAACAATCTCCTCTTCTTTCTCCTTATCGAGTTTTGCCTACATTCTTCTATCAAAATGAAGTTTACTTCTTCTTTGGCCCTGTTCTTCACGGCTTCCGCTTCCCTTGCTACCGCTTGGGAAATCTCCTGGTATCTGAGAGAAAACTGTAATGGCTGGTATTACTGAGACCAGTCCGGACGACAAGCAGGCCTATTGTCAGGACTATATCGAAAACTCGGACGTTAGATCTGCCCAATTCGAGGGAGGCAAATGACAAGGTTCAACTTCTATAAGAACGATAAATGCACCGGAAATGGGCTTGGCGCTGTGAACAATGGATGCTCCAAAAACCAAGGCTACACAAAATCCTTCGTGACAGTGAGTATAAGAAGAAATGGTTTACTTGCGGGACCAAAGACTGATACGGGTCAATGTTGTTAAACACCTTCGAGGAACGAAGGTCTGGACAGCGACTGGGACAAACAGAGAGAGTTATCTTACAGGGTTGGACACAGTTTTGGCTGCCTATAGCTGACATGGCGCTGTATTGGGCTCATGGTTTTCTGTACGGTAGCACCTATAGCTGAGGAGAGAACTTCAGAACGATGTTGTTCATGAGATAACCGGGGCTTGGTATGCCTGGAGCTTCATCCAGGGCTTCGCGTATTAGTTATCTAGGTAGCTATGCGTAGGCCAAGTACAGATCTCGAACCACAGTTTACTGGTGTTCACAGTATAACTCCCAACGCAATTTCGAAGAGCTCTCAAGAGATTCGAAGCAACAAGTAACATATAATGAGACCAAGTTGCTAACCAAATTAAATCGGGAACCCAACCTGTGCAGCAGATAGTTGGTAAGTCTCATCAGATATTTAGAATAATAGCAGCATGGTATTGTGATATTGCGAGACAGGGAGGAGAGTGACTATATTGTGTATGAAGACGGGAGTGGAATAGTTAAAGCTAGTATCTGGACTTCACTCATGTAGTTAAAATTGCCTAAGAATTTTCAATCAAATCCGATATGGTGTAACGGCTAACATCGCCGCCTTTCAGAAAATGAAAGCAAGTTCCGCGGCAGCTCGGGGTTCGATTCCCCGTATCGGAGTCATAGAAGATCTTTTTTAACCAAATTAATTTTTTGGTAGAATTGATGAACTAATTAGCTACTATGGAGTAGCATGTGGCAGAATTTTCTTTTCTTTTTCCTCTTTAGAAAGGTAACCGATATCTTAACGTCAGCCTATAAGAGAACTTTACGAAATATTGTTAGAGGCTTTACAAGCTACCACCATATAACTCGGAAAAGTAGATCCTGTGTTCAGGGAAGGACTGTGCCAAACAGCGACTGGTGCATCGTCCGTGTCATTAGGTCATCGCTGCTGATCGGAGCGGATGAACGAACTTCACTCCAATTGGGCCTATATAGCCTGTAGGAGCAGACGTGATATCTATAGTAGGAAACTTATACACATCAACCCTTTTCCAGGATTTCATAGTTTGGACTCATCTTGACCATCACTTACAACTCCTCAAATATAATCATCATGAGATCCAACCCAGAGAGAGAGAGATTTTCCCCAGCTGAACGGGAAAGTCATCCTGGTAACAGGATGAGGAACAGGGGAGGAGACTGTGGGGTTGGACGGAGGACTAGATATCCTCGGATGCCTTCGGCGCAGGGAGTAGGTGCTAGATAAATCTTGAATAATGGAGCACGTTGCTAGGTATTTTTGATATACATGGACCAGTGCATGTAGGATTGGGAAATTATGGAACAATGTCGCTATTTTCTGGTAAGCCTCCTAGCAAAAACATGGTGACTGCGAATCGATACGACCGACTATGTACATAACTAGGAACATATCAAGACCCTCTACTGCGCGAAGAATCCGGGTGCTATTTCTCAACATTTATTTAGGACATCTACAACGTACGATCGTGCCCAAAATGCTCTATCAAAATGTTTTATTATATATATCCACTTAACTGCAAATTCGCCATCAAAGCCTCGCTCCAGCCTCCAAAATCCATAGCCCATGTCTATGTAGACTGGAGGCTTTCTGGTTTATATGGAGAGCCTCTTCCTTCTTTTATAAAGAAACGATTCTGATGGCTTACCTTGAGAATATAAAGAGCTGACTGTTGCAACTTATAGAATTGGCCAGGTACATCTGGACAGATTGGTTGCCCAGGTGCTTGGACGGCGTCATATCATTGCGTAGAGAGGACTATCAATAAACAACACGAAGAAGAAACCTATGCACTCTATGAAATATGCTCGTATATCCTGTAATCTATGATTCTACAGAGGGATTTCTTAACTATTTCTCTGCAATCAAAGTCTTCCGGAGAAGTAAGAGAGAATGAGGCAAAGTGCTCCGTTAGTTCCTATCTTTCTGGCATTTACTCGACTCACAAGAGCCTTTACTGACTATATATTCTATGCAGAGATATGCTTAGAGCTTTTTCATGAATTTTTTTATAGTACCTGAATATGCTCCTTAGCATTTAAATTGTTGTTGGCATGTATACCTTCTTTTTAGGGCTTCAGGACGAAGCCCTTGAATACCAGCAGACGAGGAACCAGAGTCATAGTATGAACTATAGGTTGGACTTTCGTCCATGTAACTCGACATAGGAGATAAATGGATAGACTCCCAAATTCTTCTTAACCAGAGAGCCAAATAATACAATATGTGTTCAGAAAAAGAAAAAAGTCAGGGGATAGAGAGCACGGACCACTTTTAATCCATCCCTGTGTTAGGCGAATTGCGTTACCCTCTTTTCTTTACGGGGTTTCCGAAGAGAAATGGTCTCAAATTCTGAGGATGTGGAATGTTTTTTTATTTTTTTATTTTTTTATTTTTTATTTTTTATTTTTTTAGAAAAAAGAAAAAAGCAGTCCACTGCTTACGGCCCTGTGGAAGAAGCACAGGAGCTATCCTCGGACAACGCTGCCTTAGCTCGTAGTGAAACCAGAGCCAGCGAGGCCATACTATATTCTGTATTTTCAAAGACCCAGAAGATATACATAGTTTTTTGTGCGTCATGGGCTGTTTTCTTCTCGCCTGTGTCTTCGCAGATTTACTTTCCAGCGTTAAATACTGTAGCTCATGATCTGCATGTCTCGAGTGCCTTCATCAATCTGACCCTAACAAGTTACATGGTATGATCCGCAATCTTCTCTTTTCACTCATATTTACCATGGATTAACAGCTTACGAAAACAAGATCTTTCAAGGACTGTCGCCCATGTTCGTTGGCGACTTTGCAGACAAAGCAGGCCGACAACCAACCTACGTTGGATGTTTTATCCTATACATAGCAGCCAATATTGGATTTGCGCTGCAAAACAGCTATGCCGCACTTTTAATCTTCCGTTGTTTGCAAAGTAGAGGAATTAGCACCTCTATTGCGCTCAGCTCGGGGGTGGTGTCGGATGTTGCAACTGCCGCAGAGCGGGGTTCATATATGGGGTTTGTGATGGCTGGGACGCTAATGGGGCCCTCCGTTGGTCCAGTGATCGGAGCTCTGCTAGCACAGTATCTAGGATGGAGAGCTATATTCTGGTTCTTGACAATATTCGCGGGGTGCCTTCATCGTCCAGCTCCTACTTTTCTTTCCCGAGACAGCCCGGAGAGTGGTCGGCAGCGGCTCGATTCCGCCTCCAATATGGAACCTCTCACTGATTAACTGGTACCCAAGAAGGACGGAAGAACAGAATGCACACAATATTTCAGAAAGGCCACACAGGATCAGCTTTCCAAACCCTCTCAAAACACTCTCCATCATCTTCAGAAAAGACACCAGCATGATCCTCCTCTCAAACGCCATTCTCTTCGCTGGATTCTACGACGTCAGCGCCTCAATCCCCGCAATATGCAAAGACATACAACCTAACCGAGCTCCAATTTGGCCTCTGCTATATCCCCTTCGGTCTCGGCGACACAATCGCCTCAATCATCTCTGGTAAAGCCCTAGACGACAACTACCGGCGTCTAGCAAAACGACCCGGCTTCCCTCTCCACGGAACTCGTCCCAGGGAGATGAGAGGTTGCCCCGTTGAGAAAGCCCGTCTCCAATTTGCCTTCCCTCTGCTGACCATAGGAAGTCTCGCCGTGACTGCATTCATATGGGTGCTGTATTTCCGTGTTCGTCTGGCCGCTCCCACGACGATCCTATTTGGGATGGGGTTGGGATTAACCGGAGCTTTCAACATGGCTAGTACGTTGCTTGTAGATCTGTATCCAGCGAACACGTCTGCGGTGACGGCGGCTAATAATCTTGTTCGTTGTCTGCTTGGTGCTGGGGCTACGGCTTTGGTTGATCCTATGTTGAATGCTATGGGCTGGGGTTGGTGTTTTACTTTCATTGCGTTAGTTATGTTGGCTGTGGCGCCGTTATTGGGGGGTGGTTGTTAGTTTTGGTCGCCGGTGGAGAGAGGGGTGGTTGGTGATACCTCAATCTGATGATTTGGGGAATCGTAGGGTGATATATTATCGTATTAGGCTATAACTGTATATTGTGTTCTGGAGACTTTGACCTGACTAGTGGGGTGTTTGTGTGGGCTTTGTAGACTTGGGTGTTGGATTATCTAGGTGTATATAGCATGCAATTCTTGATAATAGGGACTCATCAAGTTGAGAAAGAACACCCTAAGTTGAAAAGGTGTGACCCGCAAGGAGAAAGGAATAGGATATTACAGAGAGGAAGGAAGAAAACTTTAGCTGGCAGAGACCTATACGTATATTTTTAGAACATATGAACTAATATAAGTATATAAATTAGGGAACAAGAACTAATCCAAAAAGCACCCACGCCAACCGATTTTCTGTCTATCATGGCCAAAACAAAACCCGGAAGTCAAATACAACAGACACAAGAAAGACATACAAAGAAAAGAAACAATCCCAGCCGCTGCTAATGACAATAAATATCTCATCCATTACTCGCTAAATCCGACCAATCCAGATCATATCGTGACATCCCAGATGCAAGAGAAGACTCAATGTGAAGGGAACTGACCAGAGAAAGAAATATAGAAAGATAGTATGTGACGCCAATATATAAAGAGAAGACAGAAAAGATAGACATAGACACGCTGAAATAACACGACCAACTCGCTTGCTGCGTGACCATAATGTAATACATATAAAACCGATCAGAGACAGAAAGTGACCAAAGGAAATGGGGATATTTGAGTATATACGGAGGTTTAGAAACTGAAAAGTCCGCTGCGCTTCTTTCCGAGCGGATAGACGACTAAAGCGGCCAGGAAGAGACCGACGGTAAAGCCAATTGCGACCTGGACCATCCCGTATCCGATATCGAAGACGACTCCGTGGAATTGGTCATTGCTTTGCGGCATGGTCATGTTTTTGGCTGCGTCCATGAATCCCTGTGTGCCATTGGACACCACAGAGTAAGGTGTGATTTTGTTGGTGATTTGTTCTGCTGACGCGATCCCAGAGATTAAAGATCCACTGGCTGCAAGCCCCGATGGCACAAGAACGAAGATAGCGGGTAGCATCGCCGCGGCTGCGAATCCATGTCGCAGTCGACTGTAGAGGTTTCCCATGACGCCAATCACGAAGGCGCCCAAGGCGTTGGATACCTGTGTACTTGAGTAGAATCGCTTAGAGCCGAAGTAGTTGGTTACATAACCCGCAAATGCAATGACAATCATCATCGGCATTTGCTTCAACTTGGCATGGTTGACAAGGGCGAGGCAGACAGTGAAAGGAATGACAAAGGGAAAACGTTGGAGGTATTCATTTGTGATTGGGCTGGCCGGACATGTATAATCGGAGGATGCATCGCCGTCTAAAAGCCCGTAGACAGCGGTGCCAATTGTGATACCAAACCCAAGGAACAGAGAGTAGATGATAGCGTAAACCATGCGGACGGAGCCCGCAACGATACTGCGTGATTGTAACTCTAGGCTGGCGCACAGCACCATATACCCAGGAAGGATGAGGGCAATTGAGGATTGCGCTAGGGCTGAGAAGCAGAAGAGGCGCTCCCCATTGTAGCGAATACTACCAAAAGCTCTAGCTAGGAAAGAGGTCAAAACCGCTGCCGAGATCTCGAAAACATTGGAGTACAGATGGGAGCGGGGAGCAAGAACGAGCTGGAGTATACCCAGGAGACATCCTAGTACGAAAGCAATGGGCATATCAATGGGGCGGGCGTTGAAGGCAAACGGTCCAACGCTGGCGCTGGCGCACCCGTGGACCAAAATGAGGAACCAAACCGGATATCTGTCAGGCCTCTTCATGATCTCCTCTAGCCGCTGTGTGGCCTCCTCGACACCGATAACATCGTGGATCACCTCCTTGTAGATCTGATGCACGTCTGATAGTCGACCCAGGTCAACACCCTGGTGGGAACGGACCAGCTTCACTTCAGTAGTGTGTGTGGAAGCGTCATCGAAGGAGATGATCATGCAGCCCGGCATGTACAGGAATTGACCGTCAATCTCTAGAACGCGCGCAGACATTCTCATATACTCCTCTAATCTATGTGTAGGCGCCCCGTATTTCATCAATGCGCGGCAGAGCAGGAGCAAATACCGTTGACGTGAGAGGAGCTCGGCGATATGAACGGTGATCCGGATTTCGTCCTCCAGCTGTGGCTTGCCCATCCGTTTAGGCACGCCGGGAATAGCACCACTGCTTCGCGAGCGCTTGAGCATCGCAATCGGAGAGCTAGAAGAGTTCTTGGCCGTCGAGCCAGAGAGAGATATGCTAGATTGGTTTGGAGATTTCTCGTACCACTTCCTTGGTCGCTGAGGCTTCCAACCCGGGTCCGGGGACAAGCCTCGCCCACTAAACCCTCCCGAGCTGCTTTGGCGTGAGTGGCCATATCGGCCTCGCGAATAGTTGAGCTGAGAGGGCTGGTCGTAGAGCTTCAGGAGGGTAGAAAGAATGCCACCGCGATATTGAGCTGGTCGTTCGACGTATGTGTCGGGATCCCTCTCCTCAAGTGGAGTGACCGGAGCAGAGCGGAGTCCGGGAGAGGGAGCGCGGATCCGGGTGAAGAAGTCAAAATCCTTTCGAGTCATTTGGCGCACGAGTTGATGAGCTTCCGCAGTGCGTGTTGATTGTCGCTTATCTATGAGATTATCCTCATCGTCGGAGAAAAAGTCGTATTGCTTCTCAGGAAGGCTTATCATAGGGATCTCGTCACCGTCCTCAGAGGGTAGCGCCACTTCCGTAGGTGTGGACGCGATTGATGACGGCAGACTCGACCGAGGACTTGGCTTCGGAGATTTTGAGGAGCGGCCAAGGAGGGATGCCAGCCTCTGGGCTCTCTCCTGTGCGGAGTAGATGGCTCTCCCCTTCTCATAACTGACCTCATTGTCCCCAGTGACCCCAGGGGAGCTAGCTCGTGAGTGGACCGTCCGGCCTGTGATACCCGTTGGCGAGCTACCGCTGATATCAACCAAGGGAAACGATTGGGGGTCGACGGGTGCTTTCTCCGTCGAGGGAATGCTGGCAGTGGGTAATGGCTTCTGCGGCAATGATGAACCCCTTCCATCAAACCGGATCTCTGACGTCGATCCGGAGGGGACTTCGCCAAGACCATACTCGCTCACAGTGAACTTAACGCGATTGGTGTTCTTAAGAATGCCGGCATTCCGATGCCTGCCCTGTGCTCCACGCTGGTCCATCGATCGGTCCTGAAGGCCTTCATTATTGGGCGATGGCAGAGGGGATACACGCGGCCCTTCAGAGGATCTGCTTGCCCCTCCAGGTCCTTCAGTGATACTCGAACGTCTGGAGGGGGCCACCGGTAGATCAAAATAACCACCGGCCATTTTGGGCTCTTTACGTGACTCTCCAGAGAGAACCCAAGCAAATTCTTTGACTCGTTGTGTTACCTTTTGTTTTCAACGCCTGTTTCGCTTGTTTGACTATCCTCTAGCTTGGTTCTTTCTCTCGTTCATGCCTGTTTTTGCTCAACGTCGAGCCAGCGACTGTAGTAAGAGCTGATTGAGCGCAATTACGTAGCCTAGCGACACAGTTAGAGACATCTGTTCTGGATTGCATCCCCAGGGGAGGGGGTGGTTGGCGAAGAACCTATCGATGAACCTACCTAATGGAATTTCGTGCTAGGGAGAGCTGTTGAGCACAGACCGGATGACCTGTGTGTAGCGGTACTTTGGACACAACCACCGGAAGGGAGCAGTCGGATAGATAGGAAGGAAGGGATAGAGGTACCCGCTACAAGGAATGATAGTACGTCACGGCGACATGGTTCTGATATTGGTAGGGTTATCTGCAAGATATAAGGAGAAAGAAGGAAGGAGTCCTGATCGGGGTATCAGTGCTTCCTTTTTTAACCCTTAGTGCAAGTGATTCGGGGACCCGCGTCGAAGAGATCAAGGAAAGGAGTTATTTGATATATGGGTATCCGTATGAAGACTAAAATATCCAATCGCCGAGTTTGGCCGATCGTATAAAAATATTGAATCGTGCGCAATCTGTTGTCAAGCCCGTGTCGCAGTAACCTGAACGGAATAATATTTAAGATTTTTCTCTTTCTTTCTTTCTTTCTTTCTTTCTTTTTTTTTTTTGGAAAAAAAAGTATGTTTTCTGATAGTCGGGGCGTTAGGGGGGATGCTGGCGAGAGGGGAGGAGTTTTTGTATCAAATTGCTGCAAGGTCTTCGCCACAATGATAAATCACCGGGGAGGTTTGATATTAGTGACAAATTTGACAGATGAATCACCGACTAGGAAAACCAAAAACAACAAAAAAAGTTCAATCTTTGGTGCTTAAAAGGATCCAATTGTCTAGCCCCTCTTTCCATGGCGTCAACCGTCAGGAGATTTAGGGTAACAAAATCAAAGCAAAGAAAAAAAAATAAATAAATAGAAATGAGGGTGACACCCAACACCCAATCCCAATGGACTAGAACGATGCTCAGTCATGATCAAAGCTCTTGCGACTATCTTGGCTGCGACCACGGTCGACAACGCTGGTTCCACGGGGTCCACGATGGTACCACAAGTGGCCAAAGGGGAGTCACATTGGGTCTTTGATGGGAATTGATCCTCTTTCGTTGTTCTATGATCTCTTCATTTGTATTTCTTATTCTCCGATTTTCTTCTTTCTCTAATATATTCTCTTCTCGCCTTGTTTTCCGCTTTCCCAGTTGAGATTTTGTCCTCTATATCTTTGGTTGTGTGGTTGGAAATATTTAGAAAACCTGAACTGGGTTGTTATCAAGTCTCCACCGGTAGAACAGTCTCGATCATCCTTCTGGAACCTTTAGAGCAGAGAATATCAATGGTTCCACTGGCGTTAGTGGAAGAGGAGGACTGAACTCAATGTTAGTCAGATCCTCCTTTCCTTTCTTTTTCTTTTTCTTTCTGATTTTATCCTAGGAGGCAAAAACCGGAAGTGGATCCGAAGGAACAAGTTTATGAGATAGAACCTTTTCCTTTTTAGCGCCCGTACCGGACCGTGAGGGAGATACCCAAGGATAAGAAAAGTGACCCACGAAAGGTTCGGTCGGTCTGGACACAGAGTTCTGGTTCGGAAGGCAGTAAGGCTGTGCGAATGACCACTTTGTATTTTTCCCCTTTCTTTTCTTTTTTTCGGCTACCCGATGTTTTGACCCAGAAGCCGATAGCCCTTCTGGGAACGCCGACTACGTGAGCGCTAATGACGAAGCTTGTTAAGTCTTTATCTCCTATCACACAATCTTGATTATCGGGAGGAAATTTTCCAAGCGGTGGGGACCGGGAGGTGATAGTTCAGGACTTACGCAGCTGTCCATCGTCGTCATCACGTGGCGAAAAGAAAATGATAAAAGAATCCTTGTTTTTTTCAGAGGCAGATAATAAAATTAATAGGTTAGGGGTGAGAGAGATAGGGGAGGCAGGAGAACAGAGGAGGGGCAGAGTGGAGGAGAATTTTAAGAGGTGAGGTTGGGATTGAATTGATTGGATATCAAAAGCAAAAAGCGAATGCCGGTTACGAGTACGTTCTTCCCCTATCAGCGATGGCCGGCCACCCCTGTGTGCAGATGGAGCTGTCCCTGATGATCAGCTCCAACGACAATAGCCTAAACTAGAAGTGATGGATTTGCTGCTGATCAGCTCTCTTGATTTAAATATGCACGGGTCACCTTCGGGTCTGTGATTCTATCGGCTCGTCGGATTGGGTGTTCCGCCAGGTTACCTCCATTAATTTCTGCCCAATCCCTTCTTTTTTCGTACATTTCTTTCTTAGTCCAATATCACATTGAAAAATAATCCATATTACTTGTAGTCATACAAGAGAACCTCGTGGCGGAAGAATTTCCATCCGAACTGATGACTGAAACCGTTTCAGAGTCGGACTCTTCCATTACGAATCATGCTAAACAAGACGAGAGGTTTAAATTAGAATAGGCTAAGTTCCTGTCAGCATGGGACTCAGGGTTTCAGGCAACATCTCCTTGCTTGGAGCTCAAGCGATCATGGTCCACTCGGCTTCATCATCACGCAGCCATGCTTCGTTTGATTTGTTTCATGCGTCCGAATGATTTTCATGATTAACAGAAGCAGGCCCCACATCCGTATTCCATAATTATCTTTGTTGTTAATATTAGCGAGCGAGTTAGATAAGCTCGCTCCTTGAAGAACGTACATACTATGATGATTGATCACAGCCTAGTGGAGGAATACTACTACATATGTTATGTACAGTAATGTGGAGTATCTGATATTAAACAGAGGTCCAGATGCAGTACAGCCAACCTGGCGATCCCTCGCACAACACAATAATCTAATCTAGCTGCCTATCTATAGCTTCGCTTTCATGATATAAACATGCCAATCCAGATACCAAGTTGCGTGGCAGGATGTTACACGGTGTCCTGAGGAGAGACTGCCTTGACCGTTTGTGATAGATGTTGGTATCTAAGCCTTGGTATGCATGAAGCCCGCCTTGATTTGCTTCTTAATTTTTGCCCCTTCTTTTCTCTGTTTATCACTGTAAGAATCCTACATAACAAGGTGCTGACTGCGTAGCAAAGGCTGTCGATCTATCTATCTTCTTGCCCTGTCCCCTCCATCAATACCCCTGACTATCCTATCATTACTAAAACTGTAGATATACCGAATGCCGTGTAACATGACGCATTCCGTTTCCATTGCTGTCCGACTCAAGGGCAGATCCCGGGGGATAGCTGTGTAACCTGTTATAATGCAGGGGCCAATACTGAAATCCCGTCTCGCAGCGGGGGGAATGCCAAGTCGGGACGGCATGTTGCTCTTGGGTGTCCAACAGGAATATTTCTTCGTAGGCTCAGAGAAATTGTGGGGTTGAGGGATGATACAGGACAGAGAATTGTAGAGCGATGTTGCTTTGAAGAAGTATTCAAACAAATAAACCTTCTATCAAGTATGCATTCTCCTTGCTGACTACGACGACTCATGATAGTAATCGGTTCGGTGGGGATATTCATGCTATATCTGGAACAGGTGGATCTGAGCCTATTTCCTCATATTCTGGTGATACTGTCAGCTGACATGGATGACTTTAGGAATAGGATGGACATTATTCATCAGATTCACATTCAGGTTCATATGCTACTAATGGGTTGTGTATAATGTGATGTAACCTTTGACCTTTACAAATAAGTCGGCATAGTAAGTTGCATTCATGACAATAAATCCCATTTTCGCGACAGTCATTTTTAAACAATGATCAACTGATTAGACAATTAAAGTTAAATAATAGTGATAAAAAGAATAAAATGGATTCGCCCCAAACTGAGCCAAAAAAAAGGTATATATATAAATCTATGACTCAACGACAAAATCGACCGCCACCAGCGACTCATCGGATCATAAGCACTAACGATAATTGAATACTACCCAGGTACCAGCCAAGTGGTACCATCGACCTGGGTAAGCAAGGACGCGAACCAGGTAACTTGATAAATATCTATCCATTCTATAGTGGCCATCGAATAATAAGCGACGAGGTCCGACTAAAATCGACTAACGGTACCTAGATCCACTCATCCACCCACGCACCCAATATTCGCAGAGTTTTATACTCCCGTAGGCCTTCTAGATCTTTTGCCGCCCCAGTCAATTCAGGTCAGCTGGTCTGCAAAGATAGCTGGATAATAAACCGATGAATCAATCATGCTGGAAAAAGAAAGAGGCGATCGCCTTCACATGGGAGCTATATGAAGCAGGACTGGTAGAATTTTTTTTTTCTCCTCTTCCGGCACCCCCGATAAGCTAACCCTAGTTGACTCCATCCGCATTGTTGGCATTATCAACCTATACTTTGTGCAGAGGTTCCAGTGTGCACAATTCAGAAAATTATGAATATCAGTAGACTACTCTAGACCGATATTCCTGTTGAAGTCGCTATCGCATCCACAATTACAGAAGCGCCAGCGACATGTTACATTCCCAACCAACTTCACCAAACATATATTTCCGAACAGTAGTAATTCTGAAATCCGTGCACCGACCTAAATTAGTTTACTAGAACCCACCCAAATTCCTTGTTGGCGATCACTAGCGCCTGGAAGCACCCTCCTGAAAAAAGTCGATGCGCCATGACCTATAGCTGTAGCAGCTAGTTAACCAATTTCTAACAAGGCACAGGACCAAGTCATATCGACCTGTTCATGTCCCACGTGGAAAGAAAAAGAATCAATTAACGTGGTCTGTGCAATTGTCTGAAACCATTATTGCCTAGGAGACCGCCGTCATGGATTATCCTCAATTTCGGGAGTAGTTGTCCTTTGTGGGTATAAATGCTACATATGAAGCTACAAATCAAGCACTAGGCCCCATCTACCACTCTATTGTTTCAGTCGAACATGATGGTGTATTGCTGCCCAACTATTAATGATACCTCTTTAATTCCCGCGCGCACACGGTCAGTGCTTGCGATCTAGCATCTGCTAATTTCCCTGCAGAATCACGGAATCGCGCCGTGCATGATGCAGACTTATCACGCCGATTTTCAAATTCCCGAATTCAGGCCGAATCTCACCTTTGCCCCCGGCCCGAGAGAGCTACAGTGAGACGGTTTGCCCAACCCCGAGAGGTGTACTTCGTCTGGTCAGCGGTCAACGGTCTGGTGATTCTCGGAATCTACCGGGATTCGGATGTATGCTAGTGTGTATGTTTAACTGCGCTCATTGTTTTGCTGAGTGTCGATCAATACTATCTAATGGTGTATTAATTTAAACCCCATATGTAGATCAGAGTACAGCTTGTCGGCCTACTTTAGTTTATACTATTATCCATCTGCATATGATTCAGGTTTGCGCAATCTTGGCTGCATGTTGTAGCCGTCTCAGGGCCCCCATAATGATTATTCCAGGTTTTATCGCTTGAAGAGGGGTACCGACAAAGTCTTCGCAGGATGCAGGTTCTAGCCCTTATATCGCTGTTCTTCAACGTCCCTCACACATGAAAACCAATGGGTTCTTGACCATCTGAATTATTCCACCCACCGCTTGATACCCGACAAGTATCAGGATTCCTTCCTCCGAGGAACAGAAAAGAGAGGACGAAAAATTTTACCTACTCCCGGTCCACATGATGGAAGTATCCGCCTAACGGTGATATGTAGACTACTACATTCCGATCTAAAATACAATAATACATCTACCTACACGCGTTATGCGCAGTTATCGTTGCTCGCTGTATACCTTTCGATTTATTTAAATAGAGAAGCCCGGTTTGCCCGGAGATTACTTGTGAATGGATACATACCCGGCGGAGGATTTGCGAATCAGGGTTCGGTTGGTTTTTATGTGGGATGATATCATGCGTACAGTTTGATGCTGGCACTTTGCGCACCTAAGGAAAAATATACATGATAAGGCCTGGAATCGAACTTTGTGCCTAGGTGTCTGTCAACGAAAGGTTGCCTCTCTGATTTGTTCTCAAATCAATGCACTTTGTGCTTTAGTCTGGGATGCCTGTCTGTCCCCGCCTTCGACGTATTTTGCACAAACTACCACTTCAGAACTTGCAAGATATATACTAATACGGTTTTTTAATTGTCGAGACTAAGAGGATATGAAAAATCCGAATCATTTCCCATAAGCATAGTCTATCTCTTTTCTGAAGTGAGCATAGATCTTTCTACGCTGGATCTTCTGTGCCGGAGTCAAGAAGCCCTAAGAAAAGAAGTCAACCCCAAACAAGAGCACAGAGCGCGCGGATTTCAATCAACTTACATTTTCCGGGTTCCACTCTTCATCAGACAACACAGCACCACATATAAGCTCAAAGCTCTTCAACCCACTGGATCTCCCCACATCTTGTAACTGTTTCGTAACAAGTGGCAACAGTTTATCGTTGGCTTGACCGCCATTGATCTCATGATCCGTTGCAAGAGTTCTCAACACGTCATTATTGGGAACAATAATGGCAATTGGGTTCACCTGATCCTCGGCTGCGTAGATGCAGACATTCTGGACTACGGTTGCAGTACGATAGATCGATTCGAGCTTTTCTAGAGCAAAATATTCGCCGTGGAGAGATTTGACGAGATTCTTCTTGCGGTCGATGATTTTCAGATGGCCGTGATGAGTAAACTCACCGACGTCACCTGTCCTGAACCATCCATCGGAGGTGAAGGCATTCTTGGTCTCGGACTCATTGTTATAATACTCGGTTGCTACGCTTGGGCCTCGAATTAGAATCTCGCCCCGTGGGGGATCGTGTTTTGTTGAGTAACCACCATCGACGTAGTCTACCAGCTTAATTTCAATAGAGGCGGGTAGTTCGCCGAGCGAATCGGGATCCCATGCTAATGGATCATTGATGGCGCCCATGCCACATGTCTCGGTTAGCCCGTATCCGTTGATCAGGGGAGCGATGGCCATGGAAAGAAAGACTTGGGTACCCCTAGCAATCGGCCCGCCGCCATTCATCATGACTCGCAGTCGTCCGCCGGCTGCTTGTTTGATAGCTTTGAACACTAGGGCATCGAGAAGAGGAACGCCGGGAAGCCGCGAATTGAGTACAACGGACTTGGCGTGTAGTGCGCTCCAGAAGAGACTTCTACTTATCCAGCCTTTCGCGGAAACCTTGCTGATGATGCCTTTCTTGACAGATTCCCAGACGGCCGGCACTCCCACAAGAATAGTTGGTCGGAACTCGTTGATGTCTCCCTTGCAGTTGCGGACGGAGTTGTTGGAAAGGGTCCTTGGACTGCCATAACCCATCGTGCTGCCCCAGTAGAGACACATGTTCTCGAATACAGATTCAATGATATGTGCTTGTGGGAGGTATGTGAGTATTGCATCTTCCGGACTGATGTGTTTGCCAACGACCGCGTTCATTCCGGCGACTGGGAATATGTAAGAGAGAGAACATCGTGATTAGGTGAACAAACTTACCTGCTGCAACCACCATACTGTGCGTTAAGCATACGCCCTTCGGCGGTCCTGTTGATCCTGATGTGTACATAATGCAACATAGGTCTTCTGGGGCTGGTGGTGATGGCTTAGTGGGAGGAGCATCCACTCCCATACGACGAAGCTCATCAAAGCTGATAACCTCGACATAGGGGAACTCCGATTGTAAGCCTTTAATGACATCCTCGCCCATAGGGGTTGTTGTGTTGTAGATGATATAGCGGAGGTATTTCGTATTCCTCAAAACCTTCGTAAGGAGGGGAAGAAGTAAAGGATCAAGAAAGATAGCCGTGCTCTCAGTCTCGTTCAAAGAATGTTGTAATCCCTCTTCGCCTAAGGAATCATACGCAGTTACAATCACAATCGACTGCGAGGCGGCTCCTTCACGCAGCAATTAGTAAGCTCTACGCAAAACCGAAGGTGCCATACCATGAGACATAGCTAACCAATGCAGACTTCCACACAGGCATTAGCTCAAATTTCTTGAAGGTTGTCTAGAAGTAGAAACACTCACCTGGTAGCTCCATAGAGATGAACCTTGCTCCCCTTTTCGACACCAAGCCGTCTCAGCCCACACCCCAAATCAAGCGCAAGCTGCTCATACTCTACAAAAGTCAAATAATTATACCCACTAAGCTCGTAATATGTCCAATTCTTGAGCACAGGATTCCCAGCCTTATCAGCTACTTTAGCTTTCTCTTGATGTACCCGGACTACCCGACGGGTACCAGCGGCTTTTGCATGTGCAAACTTTCTGGCTGCCCTCCGGACAATATCGTAGGTTGTTCGTACGCCTTCTTCAGGTTGAGTGAGTAGTTGATCTACCGCTGCAGGGGAGCGTCGAGGGATAGTTTCACAGGGACCTGGAACGGAGTCTGGAGCTTTTACTGTGAACGGGGGCTTTTTGCTCATGTGCGGGTAAAGGGTGTCATATTTTGGCGACATATTCAAGACATGCAGTGTATAGCACCGCTTCTAGTTGCCCATGTGGTGTGTGGTAAGTATAGTTCGATACACTGTTTCACATAAACAGACAGAACCAGGGCAAGGAGTGGTATTTCGTACTCACAAGTTGTTTCGGGGAGAGAGCCTTTAGAATGATCAATCGCAATATATGCTGCAAGGCCTTTGACTTAAAGTTCTTATGTGCTGGCTACTACATAAGTCGTGTGACTTTTAATAGCCTAGGCTCTTCTTTCGCCAAGAGTATAGGCCTAGCATTCACGCGACTTCCCGTAGGAGAGATGGGGTAGCTCAGCAAGAGTGCCGAGCCGGATTCGGCTCGGCTGTGAAGGACCTGCTATGATTCGTGGCTATAGCGTAGTGGGATCTGGGGTTCGTTGGTGCTGACACGGGGGTCTGAGCCACGCTGGGAAGACATGTTGGGGAAGAGTTCATCTCGAATAGTTAATGAATAACGAATACTAACCTGCCACGGGAGCGATGGTGGCGCACCCCTGATGTACCCTGAATTAACTACGAGGTTGCCGTTTGGAGCCCAGATAAGACATGTTGCGGTTCGTGATCAAACCTTTTTCCCTGAGACAAATGCGTAAGCTGTTCGATATTTGTACATCGAGTTTTCAGATGATTAGGTCTTATATTGAATTACGGAACCGGACTTATGAGAAGCACCTGCTTCTGGAATGCCGATTAATTTATCACTGAATCTTGGATCTACTAGCGACAACTTTACCCCATATTTGACTAAGTAAGACCTTAGTGATAGTTCATACTGCTTAAAGAAGTATAGTTACCTCAGCACCAGAGCCGGAAAGCTCGTCCTAGATTCAATGAGTCGGGATATGGCTGAAATATCCCGTCTTGTGATCTATATATACATTGGTACATCTGGTAGTCATGAATACTGCCCCAGTGGTGGTAGTATTGTTCCCATTTGTGCATAGTATTTGGTCAATCACTTAGAGGGTATGCCAGCGTAGGTGATGGGTACAATTCTTCGTTGTTACGCGACTTTCTTGAACACTTAGATAGAAAATTAAATAAAAGGACCCTGGCTAGTTTTCCCTAGGACAACGTCGAGTACTTCCATTCTCAAGTGCAGATTGGTCTAATACTTATAATACTGCAGCTGCTAGACTGCAAATTCTGGATCATTTTGTAGATCCCTACGACACCTTGCTCTATTGCAGAGCTACGTGTGTTCTTCCCTAATATAACATTGGCGAGCCCTGATGCTCTCCCGCAGGCTTTGCAATATAACTTCTGGATTGCACTCAAGTAACGAAGGATCGATAATTTCAGGAAGAGGTGGCTCCTCGGAGTTTGGAGGGATTTCTAGTGACACTTCTTGTGTTGCAGTCAAATCAATTGCGGGCGTGGCCTCATCCACGGCAGGAGCCAGGTGAGCTTGTACCCCAGTACCCATTAATCGAACGATTACGCGACTTCGCGGGAGGAGTAAATGTTTCGGCTTGGGCTTTCTAAATGAGGTTGATGGCGAAGATGCTTGTTTTGCGGGATATTTGTTACCAGTCGCTTGCTGTCGATACTTGTTGACAGCTACAGCCATGTAAACCTGGAATTGATCCTGCGGGACGGCCGACTCGAGAAGCTCAACAACAGCTGACGCGATTGGCCAAACATTGGAAAGCATACAGAGAAGGTCGATATTTTCCCCCATCTTCTGCTCGATAGCGTGCAGCAACGAAGGGGCCGATACAGTCATCTGGGTCTTCAGGGTGGCAAACGACATAAGCGCATGCCAGATTCTGTCTTTCAGTTAGGCGTGGGGCACCTTCTATGGGGCTAGGGGATGATTTATGCTCACATGAACGCTGGTGCGTATCGCAACTGCCCATGGAGATTGAGAGTTTCTAAGACCGAGATTATCATCGATGCGGCATGGAAAGCAGAACTCCGAGATTCCTCCGATGAGCGCGGGACCTGAGAAAGGTAAAAACTGCATATAACTGCACTTCAAGAGAGTAAGAAGAGTACTGGCCACGGTTATTCGGGAAGCAGCACTCACTTATAGCTCGAATACAACAAAGCGGGCCAAAATCTGTGATTGGAGGGCCTCCACTGCATTTCTGACGGCCTCGATATATACCAGTCATGCAGGGCTAGTTCGCGTTGCCTTGCTTGACTAATTCGATCGTCCAAACTTGCTTTTGACACAGTATTCGGCCAGAAGCTTTGGACCAGAATGTGATGAAGTTTCACATATTGCATAAAGAACACACCGTGCTCGTTGGCATCCGGAAAAGGTTCAGCCATGTCGTCCTCAATGAAATCGCGCAGCGTGAGTGGTCCAATAGTGCAATCATCCAGATCAATATGCGTTGGCCGCCCAAATGCTGTTGCCACGGCCCGGTCGCGTGTGTATAGGGTCCACCATATCCGCTTCATTAGACCTTTCCCCGGCGCATTCTGAAGAACAGCTTTTTCGCTTCGGAGTCATAGCCAATCAGTGAGGATCTAGTCATCTCAGTTATGGTATACCGACCTCAGATGCATATCATGCGCTTGCGCTAATGCGGTACCTATGCGGCTCCAGTAAAACATTCCATTTTCCGTTAAATCTGTTGTACCTGTTAGTCGCTTCAGGGGACCAGGTAAGCTCTTGCACTTTTATACCTTCAGGTCCATCCCAATACAATCCCAGAAGAGTAGTCGATTGAATTAATATGATGTGATCTTTTTCGTATCCTGCATCATAAAGCGCCTTCGCTTTCGTGTAAAATGTTCGAGGTGATAATTTGGTATGTGGTTTCTCTCTCTCTGTGGGATAAAACCTCGACGACACAGTGAATATTGCATTCAATAACAAGGCCGAAGGGGTCAAGGTAGGATCTTGGTAGTCGCGCAAGAATGTATGTTTATTCACCACTGGAACCATGGGCGCAATCCAGGTGTAAAAAATCTCTATTAGTTCATCGCATATCTCCTTGGATGGAAACTCGAAGACCCCTCGCTGTCCAAGAATACGTAGCTCCAAGGGATCAAGGTCATTGTCCGACTTCGACAGATGTACGAGATCGGCCGCCATGGAATACAGCGAAAAGGGAATATCTGAAACCGATCTGGTTGTAATCCAAAGAAAATCCGGGGATGACTTGATGGAAGTAAGATAAAGTGGTGCCAATGTGTCAGCAGTGCATGGGCTGTGATTGGGCGATTCCCCATTCGAGTGGGTAGGTGGCATCGACATGGAAAGCGGGTCCCGCCACATTGAAGTCACCTGAACATGTGGAATTTCACTTTCACAATACCCCTAGTATGTAAAATATTTAAATAACGGTAAATCCTTTGAATTTCATGAATCTATCTTAGTTCCTTATTCCTCCCGAATTTTGACGCAGTTTCTAAGTACTTCATAACTGCTTACCAACTGCTTGCAATGGAATCATCATTTATAACTGAAGATCCTGGTTATTTTTTTGGGAAGAAGATCTACCCCAATCAATTAAGAGTGACTTGGGTCAGTCACAGCAAGAAGTATATTTTTAATACTAGATTTTAATTAGTTAAAAAGTACTTACTATCTACTTAGAAAGAGAATATATTTATTCAACTTACTGATTCCTCAAAGTCATTAAAGGTTCTTAAATTAGAATACGTAGTGATCTACCAGAGTATCCATCAACGGATCCTAATGGATATGGCCATATTATAAATGTGTCTCCGAATCAACAGAGGGAGACGGTTGAGAACATGGTTAATAGTGTAAATATATTACGCCTGGGTATTCAGGCGGGAGCTCTGCGACCAGTTAGCTGCACTTGCATAGCGAGGGTCAAACCTGAATAGTAGAATCCACTATAATTCGGTAACGAAAAATGATGATGATGCCATGAGGTAATCTATTTCAAGGTCCGATTGAGAGACGATAGCTAATCTGTAGATAGCTCAAGTCTAAAGGCCAGGCCTATTAAATATATATACTTAATAGTTGGAAGAGTATAAACGAGTTGAATACGGGTCTTAATACTAAGGATAACTCTGTAGTAGTAATTTAGATTAATCACGAAGAACTAAACTAAGTATATGAACAAGTGTCCTTATATAGCCATTCCTGGGATGCCATGGTAGCTGGATTGGTATACCGATGGTATACATATTGTATACAGTATACGGGTTTTTATGTCTTTTAGCGATCAATCATATACCACTTGGTCAATCACATGATTCAGGTTACCGGTCTAACATAAGTATTGTTGGTTAGTGTCTCCTGATTCTAGTGTCATCTTAGCCTATTATTCTACTTTGTTCCTCCGCCTCCTGATAAGGGCGCTAGACAAAGGCCTATAATATACCCTCCACTGTGTCTTCATAACTGAGGACGCAACTGAAGGCTATTATACCTTATTCAAAAAGGTCTATGATATAGTGTATAAATTAACTGGTAAAAGTCTTACCTTTCATGCCTTACATAAAACCGGTCTTCACGCTTTAGTAATGGATATGGATAATAAGCAGATTGAAGGTAGTTTCTGTTAATTGCAGCTCGGAGAGCCGCAGGTAGTAGGGAATAGCGTTCTACAGCGCCGCAGATGGCAGAAGTAGAGAACTAGGTTTTTATTGAATAATCTACTACCGTATACAGAGGTTGATCACTGGGTTCTGAAGCTATTGGGGGGTACGGTAAGGACTTTACCGCAGCGGGTAGTACATGGCCGCACGTGCTACTATATCAACCGCAGGCGCTGTAAGGTACGTCTAACACTTTCTAACTACTTCTCTCAAGTTAGCCTTCAAAGAGTAGCTACTACTGATTCACATGAGTAGTCTCAGAGTACTGAGCTGCAGAGACTAGAGGAGTTAGAAATTCAGAATTTAAAGGCTGAATTACTTGTAAAGCAGATTGAAATCAGAAAGAAAGAGTAAGGGTTGTGTGAGCTAGAGTTAGAAAATGAAGACTAGTTAATCATTAATCAGATTCCAAGTACTTTAGAAGTGGTTACCAAGTAGTTTTGTTGATATCCTTAAGTCATATATATATACACTGTACACACTACATTGCCATAATATTTAGTAAATCAGCCATAGAATTATTCTGATTATTAATTTTATTACTTAATAAGTACTTTACAATCATTTAGAAATACTACAAGAAGACTACCAAGTAATTTTAACTAGTTTTGGTGGACTGTTTTCCTTTATAAAGTGGTGTGTACAGATTGATGGTAAAGGTATTGAAAATAAAAAAGTGGTAAGAAGAATTCACAGGTAACTTCGACGTGGAATTTGGGGCACGGGCCAGATTCCACACACATAACTGCTCGAGGCACACTAGTGCGTCGATGCCAGCTTTTAGCGCGTCGAACCCAACTACTTTCTGCGATTGCCCAGTAGCTGGTTCTGTTAATACCACTAGGTAGCACTGCACTAGTATTTGGTTAGCCCTGATCGTAGGCCGACTTTCTACTTTATTTTACTCACAGAAAAAATAGAGCCCCTAAAAGTTAACCTCCCACTCTCTATAATCTGTCTGATAAAAATAATGATAACAAGTATATATACGTATAACTACCTAAGCGCTAAGGGAATGAGAATCCGCCACCGGCAATATCATTGAGTCCACCCATAGCTACAACACCATTAGTAGCTTCCCCTTCACCCAGGAATGCATCATGGAGGGACTCTAACTCGACCCACGATTCGGCATATTTCAGGCCCTTAAGCCGCTCTTTCTCAATAATATCACGAACATCTGAACCATTTACATGATCCTTCTGACACTCGGGGACTTCCATATCCTTCACCTCCATACCTGGATCATGACTGATACCGTCACCTAGAAGACCAGAGGCTCGCAAAAGTCGCTCGGGGGTACAGTAAATCTCCCTTTCTTGACGACGTATTTCGACACAGCTGTTGCGAAAACAACCGGCTGACCTGGATTGACTCTTCCTCCGCTCACATTGCCCGAGCTAGCGATATTCTCGGAACTCTGACCCCTAGACAACTTGTCCATGGCAGCCCCCTGGGGCTTACACTTCCTTTCTGAACAAAGTGCGTCACAATGTACAGCCACTTCTGATCCCAGGTCAGAATCCGGGACCACACCTCATACTGCTGGAAAATCCGAGTCTCTTTTTAAAGCTCATTGTAACCGACCCGATTATAGCCGCTATCATGCCACGTTTACCCTCGACTGTAAGATCGTGGTCTAGGGCCCAAAGTCCCTGGAAACATAAACAGGAGAGAAGGTTAGAACGGCTAGCGTCCAAGTCCGTGATATATGTACTGTTGGACTTGTGAAAGTTGTAGTCGTATTCCAGTAAAGGCGCATATGTGATAGTTATGAACGGGAGAAAGACCGTCGGCCTCTTGATATTCAAGTTCGGAAGCAAGGTGGGATAGCGACATTTTCGCCAGGCAGCTCGTACAAGTGGACTGAGGATGCGGTACTGGGCTTATAGTTATTGGAGTATTTAGTTTAATTATAAGTCAGAGCGAAACTCTTTATACGTACATGCCAGATTAAGGGTAGACATTTGATGTTTACGAGAAGTTAACAGATCGTAGCTAGTTTCCATAAATTAGCTGATCCTAATATTTCCGAAATCATTTGGCTCTCAGGTAGCACCACCTCGCTCGCAGTGGGTATTGTTTTGATGAAACTGAAAGGGTGGAAGACGAACGCAAGGGAGAGCGCACTAGCTGTACATATATTCCGCAAAAACCTGAATATTATAGTATGGACTTCAGCTATGAAGAACATGAGAACAAGGGAATGAGATCAACTAGCTCCACTCAGTCAATAGCAATCATGGTTTGTCTCAGTCCGTTGAATATTGTTTCTTGAGCAGCGGAGCCATCTTGAACTCGGCGTGCCGATGACCAGCCTCGGCATGCATGATTTCATATTTATTGGCTGGCTGGCTTTAGGGTTCTTAGTGCATTGGGAACACGTGCTGGTTGTTGAGGGCTTGTCGCCGAGCCGAGTTCGGGTCGGCATATCAGACTGGGTCAGTTTCAGGAGGCTGAATGGGTGGGGATTGTCATATTTAACCTCCCGCACATAACTAAAACGGGGCTGGCTGGACTAGGGCGCAAATTAAGTTGCAATAAACTACTGGCATGATTCTCAAGATACCATAATTCTAGCTGCACAACCAAGCAGAATACCACTGCAAAGGGATAGCTTGCTAATTATTCCTTAACCCGCTCCATTAGTAGTCTTACCTTTTCTGTGAAGGTCTTCCAGGGAAGGGCCAGTTGATGGCTTGGGATGTCTTGAAAGTTTCCCTAGTAACTTCATCGAATCTCCCAGGATATCGAATGTTGCCATGCATCAGCGTATCACGCTAGGAGGGACAAGGTGCATTGAAAGGCTCCTTTTGGGGTGGAAGACTTCGAGAATAGACTACCCAAGGCCTTCTATAATGATGTTGATACTACATACGAGTGACTACTTAGAGCACAAGGTTGGGATATAGGCGAATGCGAACGTCGAAGGAATCTACTTCTACTCGGACCAGCAAATGTAGGTTTAAACCCCTGCTGGCAAGATAGTTCACTAATTATTTTGAATCAGCCATACAACTCACACTGACTTGTGATAAGCCGATGGGTTACAAGGATGAATTGATGAATTTGATACCAGTAAAAATTAATCGCTCTATCCCAAATCAGTTAGAAATCGAATTAGCCGGTTTTTTTTCTTTCTTTTTTTTTTTCTTTTTTTTTTTAAAAAAAAATGACGATCAGCGGCGCACCTTAAACTTGAAGCACCTGCAACCTTCTTCTACAAAGTGGTAGAAAGTTGTCTGACCGGGAGCGAAAGACCACTTGTTGACGCCGTGGGTCTCATCTTCTTAGCCCTCCTCCTGACTTAAATAAACCTTTCGTAGCACCAAATTCGTACCTCTTGCTCTGTGACTTGGTGGTATATTCACGCATGAGAAAAGCATGCTAATTGATGACGTAGGGCCACCTGTCTATCAAACTTCAGAAGGTCAAAACTCTGAAATAATCTCCGAAGTTTGAGCCTCAGAATTCAAGTTTGAAATGATGCGCGTTTGGTGAGATGTGGATGGTCACGCGAAAAGGGCGAATGCGTGGCCTCCCTTCATTCCTAACTGTCACCTGCCGTGTTATGTTATATCGGTGATAGCCGTAGTAGCCTACTACTTCTACCGATTAATATTGTCTTGAATACAGGGTACTTCTAATCTATTCGTAGTGTCTTGGATGTCATTCTAGTCGGTTTTAAATACATAGACAGACTGGCGCAGATTGTGGCCCTACGTGACGACCGGAGTGATGTTACCATCAGCTATTCAAGTCCCCTCTGAATCTAGTGACTCTACTTTGATTAATAATAAGAAGACTGAACGCTAAGAAAGCTTTAATGGTCAACATACTTGAATCGTCCTGTGAGGCCTATTGCGAAAACCCTTCTCGACATCCGGATTGCATAATTTGTGAATCGTCTGCGCAACGCCATGGACTATCCTACTAGTCCGATTATTTTTGGTCTGCTGATTATTGCCATTTTCACATATATCCTATCAGGACCCTCGGCTCCGTCATCCGTGCCTCGCAATCTTCCATGGGTGGGTCGAGATTCCTCTAGGTTCTTCTCGAAGCGTAGGGCTCCGATTGAAAATCTTGCCAACACTCGTAAATAGCTTACTGAAGGCTATGAAAAGGTAGTGCCTTCGACATCGTCTCAGTATTGCACCGTTGCTAAGCTTTATTGGGGAACTAGTATGGTAAGAATGGCAAAAGCTATATTTCCCGGGATTTCTGGCCCTCCAGAAATCATTATTCCGAATAAGTCTATACCATGGTTCCTCGAACAGCCAGATAGTGTCCTGTCCGTGTCGGAATGGCATCGTGAAGTGCTTATGGGAGAGTACAATTTCACCCACAATCATATCCTAAAGGATCCCTATCATGAACATGTTATACACCGTTCCCTGAACCGCAACCTCCAACCCGTGGTAATGGATATTTGGGATGAGCTGGGACGTGCTTTTGACGGAACATGGGGCATGGAGTCTACAACATGGGAGGGAATCCCTCTCATGGAGAACCTTATGTTCATAGACTCAAGAGTCTCCAAACGCATGTTTGTCGGTACTCCGCTGTGCAGGAACAACAATTATCTCGTGAACATGAGAAAGTTTTCGATGGACATTGTCGTCAATACTTATGTCCTAGAGTGGCTACCTAAATTTTCATGGCCCGTTATAGCGCCCATCATCTGTGCTCGGAATTGGTGGCACTATTCGCAGACGGCGAAATATACGATTCCTTTTATCAAGGAGCGCCTGGGCCATATTCAACGGAAACGCAATAATCCTTCGTATGACTGGAAGGAGCCAAACGATTATGTGTCTTGGCGTATCAACCTTGCAATGGCGGTGGATAAGAAAGTCGAGATCGATCCTGTTATGATATCCCAGCGATTAATGCCGCTTAACTTTGCCGCGATTCACACCGCAACGATATCAGTTTCGAACACTTTCCTTGACGTTCTCAGCACCGACGGATCTAAAGGTATTGTGGATGGCCTGAAGGAAGAAGTGGAACGTGTCTATGCGGACTGAAATGGCGTTTGGACAAAGGATTCGCTAGCCAAGCTCATAAGGGCAGATTCGGCGATACGCGAAAGTATGCGGCTGAATAACTTCATGGCGATGGGTGCTCTACGCCGGGTGATGCCAGCAGATGGTATCTTCAACAATGAAAAGCAATGGCCAGCTCCCCCAGGGGCGTATATCGGCTTGGACATATACTCCATACACCATGATCCTGAAGTGTATCCATGCCCAAATGACTATGATGCTTTTCGTTTCTCTCGGCAGAAAGAGAGCCCCCCCAGAACCCAGTTCTGCAAATGAAAGGGGTGCTACGTTATCAAAGTTGAATAATGCGGAGATGTTGAGCACAACTAGTGCGACCTTTTTATCGTTTAGTCATGGAAGGCATGCATGGTATGTTATACTTCCTAGAGCCGCTAGCCTCTAGACTCCTAGTATGTGACTTAGTCCTGGCCGTTTCTTCGTGTCATATCACCTGAAAATGCCAATAGCCTATATGCTGCTAAATTACGAAGTCGAACCTCTTCCCCAGAGGCCATTGAATCAATCATTTGGCCAGGCCTCTTTGCCTCCCCCTAACCTTCGGATTCGTGTTAAAAGAAAGCCCATTGACATGTAAGCTTGCAAAAAAAAAACATATTGTCGGCTGGTGCAGTACCGATTAAGATGTACGTTGGCTGAATCTAGGATATTGGGATAGTTAAGGTATACCCAAGTGTTTCCAGATTGTCTATCCTTCTGTTATACTTCGAAAAACTAAATAGTCATGCTAAAATGCAATCCAATACATCGATTATGGATTAATGAGTTAGGCATGGCAATTTCTGCATATGCGCATTATGAGGTCCAAAACCAGTGGCTAAATACTAGGTAAAGTCTCTTGTCTCCGAGAGCTCAGTGTGTAGCATCTGCAGTATGTCACCAAGGCTCCTGATTTCCATCATATTTCCATAACTTCCCACTATGTGTCTCTCGACTAGAGGCATCAATGACTTTCAAAATCCCATGCACACTGTCGTCAATAGTAACCGCAGCTTTCTCAAAACCGAACTGGACAGCTCCTCGATTCCCAAGGTCTGTCTGAACCCAACTGAGCGACTGTCAGATAAAGCTACTCGGCTTCTAATTAGCGTTCGCATCTGACTTACCCAGGATCAATCGGAAAAGCAGTGAGCCAGGGCTCTTCGGTCGAGATAGCCTTAGTATACCAGTGTTGCATGAGCTTTGTAGCAGCGTACGCGGCGTTTTGCATCGGAATAAAATTTCTAAGAGCGAAAAATCTTAATTAGCAGGAATCCACACCGCCCATAACAAAAGAACTCACTGCAAGAACTCGTTAGCCGGGGATCCATCTCACCAAGAGGCCTAAAGCAAAGGTGAAGCAGGCTTTACTTACCGTAAGAAAGGCAGCGCTTGAACCGATAGTCACCAACTTCGGATCCTGAGCTGCCTTAAGGAGTGGCAGAAACGCCTGATACAGTTGAATGAAACCGTATACATTAGTGTCTACATGCTTCTGGATATCCTCGACCTTGACCTCGGACACTTTGGGCCAGGAGAGAGCAATCCCTGCGTTCGCGACGAGGATATCGATGTGATCAATTCCGAGTCTAGTCAGCTCCTTAACTGCGTTTACTGGGTCTGTAGCTGAGATGACATCGATCTTGATTACTCGTAATGTTGTGCCTTCTGCAGTGGCAAGGTCTGCCAATGCTTTGGACGTTGGATGATTCGGGTCCCGGTTCGCAGCGATGACAGTGTGGTTGGGCCTGGACAGGTATAGCTCCAGCAGACCCTTACCAATGCCCCGGTTGGCGCCAGTAATTAAGACGGTTGTGGGTGCCATGGGTGATTTTCGGATGCAATACAATAGCATTTATAGAAATCCGGGATTTGATGTTACTATCCGGACCAAACAATCGAGCTTCATGGACCTTAAGTACATTAGTGCATATCTTGCTTTATAAGCTAATGATACTTGAATGGCCTGTTATTTATAAGCACACACGTTTGGGGGATTCCTTCCAGGCATGATTGTTGCTGGCTATGCTTAACTAAACAAAAGAGGCTAGATTTGTAATCAGGATGGACATGATTGCATTAAATAGGTCAGCTATAGAACAAGACCGTTGGGCTGGCCCGTCACCTACTAAGTCAGGCATGGTAAGAATCCTTGAACATTTGGGGGCCATAACTGGCCGTCATTATGTGATATATCGCGCGTGCCATTATCACCATGTTTACTCTGTCTTATCTTCACTTTAAGCTATTCGTTTGCTTTGTATTCTGTATGTTGGAAAGAATACTTAGTTTACAAGTAGTAGACGTAAAATCCGCAAGGACTATGAGCATATAACGGCTTCAGGCCATGACTAGGTTCGATTTCTCGGCATGATTTTTGTGGGTCGGAGAGCATGCCAATCTCCTAGATCTAAAGGCTGAGGCATACTGATGAACTTTTCTAGCTGGAATAGCTACCTTGTTCGTCACTGGAATGAAGCGAACTAGATATGTGAATAGGACCCAGTGCGTGAAGTTCAAGCACCAATGTATGTGACCCAGAATATCCGAACCCCCCTCAAGTTCTTACAGTTTTCGTCTACGTTCAGCTAAATAATTAGTCTGCCATTGCTCATAGCGGTGACATACTAGATGGCAGGATATTTTCTTTTCTAAAATACTTATATTCCCAAGACTAGGGCATATTCTTGTTGAATACGCCAATGAAATTACTTAGTATCACAGGGATTAGAGACGTCCTCGTTAAGCCCTCTTATCGAGCCCAGGTAAGCCTTGTGAAGACCTTGTGAAGATCTGAGACCTGGAGAACGCATAATAGAAGTCATCCCAAGAATCTAGACAGTGGATGCATCGCAGGGGTCTAAGGCAGATGTGGTAACTGTGTTGATCGTACCGGTATTTCAGGGTTCCTGCGATCTCCAAAGAGGACCAATGTGATGGAGCATAGTAGCAATTCGAATTTATTGTGGGGGACTGGGACTGGGCTTCTCACAAATCTCAGGCTAAAGCAGGCCGCCCCGTTCTACACTCCCTTGTGGTTTCGCCAGAAGGCATTCGAGGACCTAAACAAGAAGTTCGTCGTGGGACATGTTGTCTCGTAACCCTCAGAGGCCGTCCTCCCCTCCGTTTCAATATTTGTTCCAAAGCTTCTATCTTCGTTTTGTTTTCGTGTTGTTGTCCCTTTCTTCCTTGTTTTTGGGTAACTTTTATACTTGTTGCATTATTGTACTCTAGGGTTCGGTGCAAATGTATGTAATTCTTAAGCACCGCAAATAATTTTTTTTTAAACCAAAAAAAAAGGTGGGGGGGGCGCTAAGGACGCAGGTGTGTTTGCAATCCATTAACAAGAAACGTAAAATGAAAAAAGCTCTTGGCAGTCATGCCTAGTACAAGTTCATTTAGAAGTATATGATATTAGTAAATCTTAAGCAGTTAAAGTTCGCCTTAAACAAGTCGTCCTTACTCGTTAGGTCTAAAGAGTGGCTTATCATTTTCTCTCACAGACGACGAGGGCTCGATTATTCTCTGCCAAGGCCGCTTACTTTGGGTAGTTCGAACCCTCATTCCTTTCAGGAATAATATACTATACCAATGGTAAGCAACAGCTTGTAAAACCTGACTGAAGTAATACGAGGTCAAGCGCTTGGCTATCTATGTTCATGTAATGTTATAATCTAGCGCTCGGCGCTTTGGCCCGTTTATGTCGGTTTCGACATTTTTTCTTTTCCTCCAGTGTCCAGCCTGTGCCCCAATTGATACAACAAAACCAGACAGTAATGGCATGCCAAGCCTTTTTTTTGTCAATATCCTGCTCCTCCTCGCCCTCCTCAACGGCTATGCCCTCTGCAGAAGGGGTGGAGGAGGTGACAGTGACAGCGACGGCGGCAGAGGTGACAGTACTTTGGGGACACTAAGATGCGGGACCTCTAACAGCCTTGTTACTACAACCTACGTTGTCCCCGGGAATGCCTGGAACTAGACATCTCAAGGGAGCAGGAATGCAGAAGCCAGTCCAACTGTATACGATGGCTCCTACTTCCAGGGAGAAGGACATATCTCCTACAACATCACCGGTGGATCTCGATGCCGTGGTGTAAGCGGAGAGATTCGCATGCTAGGGTACGCATGGGTGGGACCCCAGCCGCCCTATCCTACCGGTCCCAAAATCCCTTCATCGTCGGGTTCAAGTCATGGGAATCCGATAAGTCAGTCAATGAGATCTTTACCTCCTACAACCGTATCAAGTTAGGGAGAAGGTGACACTTGCCCTGACGACCCGGATCTCTTTCGAATCGCCACAACCCGAGGATGGAATGACTGGACGGCTCACACGTATGGCGCTTCGGATGTGATGGTCATGAATGTCTCGGCGGATTCCACGACACTCCCTGCTGTTCGTTTCACCGCTACCACGGCTTCCGATCCGAGGCCTTCGATCAATGCGGGCCAGGGACTTGTTCGCCTTCCTGGGCGCGCTTGTTCGTCAAATGAGATAGCTATGGATTGGCCGGTTGCAACAGTCATGAATGGATCCGTGACGAACACTACTTTGGAGCTCAGATTTGATGGCTCTGGTAATACAACATCCAATTATAAACACTGCAGTGGCAGTGGCACCGAAGACGGTTTACGTATCGAGTTCATTGTGACTTTCTCAGGGCAATTTGATAGCGTGAATTCCACCAAAGCGTTGAATATTCAGCATCTTAATCAGACGCCCTCATGGGTGCCAAATGACGGTTCCCGAATTCTGCTGTTTGACTGGTGGTACAGGGCGATATAGATTGCTGGGATACGAATCGTGACTTAGTTATTATGGTAAATGGTAAATACCAGTGATATCATCATATGAAATGCACCGGTGATATTGATATCTCCTATAAAGTACTAGATATCTGATCGTAGAAACCTGTTGAAGTATATTTTTGTCGTTGAACGTTCCACGGAACAGGCTTTTCTAGGGGTGCCCAAGTATAACTGTATCCTGAAACTGCTTTTAGAAGAGCTTTGAGTGCACCACTTAGAGCTGTGCAACGCGACAATGGGTTTCAACCCGGTTAACATCAGAAGCCTCAATGTTGCCTTAGTAATGAACACCGCCACCAACGTCAAAGGTCCTACCAATGACATCATTCTATCCGATCGTGATAAGATAAGAAGGATCAATCCGCACCCGATTCCACAGTTCGACTACCAAATAAATAAACAAACAAACCATATCTTAAATTTCTTCCTTTACCTGATCCTTAAACATTACGCCTAGCGTTAACAATAACCCTTTCAACCAAACTAAGCCTTTCGTCATGCCGAACAACACCTTCTCCTCCTCGCAAGACAGCGGCGTCACCGGCGCCGCCAAATTTGTGACCTCCACTCTTGGAAACACTGTTGGAGGCGTGTCTCGAACCGTTGGCGGAGTCACAGGTGCCGCCACTCGAGGAATTGGAAATACCATCACAGGTGCGACGGGAAGTGCCGGGAAGCCTCTGGGCGATGGGCTGGGGAACATTGGAACGGGGGTTGAGGACGGAGCGAACAGGGTTGCGAAAGGAGTGGAGAATGCTGGGCAGTGGAAGAGCTAAATTGGTTTGAGTACGCCATGGAAATCCTTGGGAAGGGGGAAAGATGTGAAGATAAATTGGTAACTTTTACTTGTTTTGCCATTCAGTATCAGATTGATGATCGACGAGAGGAGAGTGGTTGAGATACTGTAGCTTAATTTCATGGATTTCATACACTTATCCAACTAGCTAATAATTGTGACAATAAATGTACTGCCATTCTCATGATTAATCTAGGCTGGATGGCTCAGTATTATAAGGGCAGACGAGATGTATGTGAGGGACAGATATGTCCCAGTAAACAATCCTTTTGCTAATATTATATCCCACAGTCTCCTAATTTGTTAGGAGTGGTGCTCGTTTCGCCCTCTTCATGCAAATTGTTTTGTTAATTAGTACTCTCAACTGCTCGCTCGCTTTGAAGACTTTTGGCACGGGGGTGTTTTAGAAGGTACCTAGGTTATATCTCATCCGATGACTCCCCCGACAAGGTTAGCCATAAAAGGGAATTGGGTGAGAGCCAAGTACAATCGAATACACTTATTAGAGGCTTAACGGGAACGTTGTAAACAAAGTTGTACTCTTAGCGCTTAGAAAATTGAATGGTGCATTATCTCGCTGAGCTGCGGAGTAAGGTCTAATCCACAGAATACAGATCTCCGGCAGCATCAAATGACCTTTTAATTCAGCATCAACCACCCCGATCTTCGTATTTTGACGTAATTGCGGGTTTATAGTGGCAAAATCACCCTTTCCCCCGTTTCATATGAAAACTAAACACACTCAACCCCCAGGCTCACAATGGTGGTATCCGCCTCAATACACTGCTTCTCACTACCCACGTCCACCGTCTTAAACAACCCAGATCCACAATTCGCTTCAGTGTAGACATTCAAAACCGGAGTTTTGGCATTATCACAGGCCCCAGAGGATACATAGGCCGTGAAAGATTTGATCGGAAAATTTTCCACATTGGAGCAGTATGATGCTGCAACATTGGTAGCTGTAATGCTGGGGCCAGTGCAACCTTCATAAAAGTGGCCGGCGTAGGAGACGATAGGGATCGCCATTACTCCCATAGAGAGGAAAGAGGCAAGTGCTAAGGTCTAATAATCTGTCAGTTGCAAGCAAGAAAGAAAGGACGTATTAGAGAATGGTATGCACCTTGACCTTGGACATGATGGAGATCATTTTGTTAAGCAAGAGGACTCTCCGAACTGATTCAATGTTATGAAGCTGTGTTTCAACTGCGTTAGGTGTAGAGAAGCTTCCTTTTATATCTTAGAAATGGATGGGGCTTTTTTCCTTTCGCAAGGGACCGAACCGTATCCTTGTTAGCGCTAAAATCTCACGGGGCTGGTGGAAGCTATTTTGGCTGATTCATGCTTAACGGAGCTCTGTGCATATGTCATCGGCTCTACCTTCCAATCCTGGGGATCCTACTATGCTCAAGTTAAGGAGATACATTTCTCCCATTGCAATTATTCGAACAGAACTGCCCGGTAAGCTATATCTCTGTATATTTCACACTTATAATCGGGTACATACAGACAGCTACCACTGGCAAGTGCCAACATGTCTCAAGTGTATACCATAGAAGAGAACGGAAGACTGGCGGCCTACAGAGTATGATTTTCAGACTCCAGTACTCCGTATAGCGGTTCCCTCGTTTCTGTTACCTACGTGGCTGCTTATCCCCCCACAGTATATTAAGCGAGGTGTTCTTAGCAGCGTCTTAACCTCTTTTAGATTTTCAGCTGAACAATTCTAGTGGCGGGGATTTTAACCTCTAACCATCGCAATTTACTCTTCGCAAGACATTGCGATTAAGGTGCAAATTTACATGCGTAGCTTCTCACCTACTTCTCATATTGAATGAGGATATGTGCAAAATAAACACTCTACAAATCAAATCGCAATGTACATAGGTGTTGGAACCTGATATGCCTCGTATATACGCAATATGTACAGTACCAGCAGCAAAGTCTCCACACATTACGTACGCGGCTCCCAGTAACTATAAGACCGAAAGGTGTGGTGTGTAAAGACCCTACTACTACTTTAGGAAAATGCTGTAGGAAGAAATTCTTCACAACTTTCCCCTGCAGGTTTCTGCGGAACTTTTGGTTTTTCCCTTTTCGCTCTGGGTCAGGTTTAGCGCCTGTTTCTGTTCGCGGAGAAGCCCGTGGTGTGCTGAGCAATTCCGGAGTAATCGGGAATAAACTACAACTGGTGCATATAACTCCGTAGTCTCCCCATCGCTTGGCCAATACTTGGATAGTGTCATGCCATAGAGTTGGAGATACCCATTTCTTCCGTCTCAAGCCACCTTGATGCTATCATTAGTGCTTATCGCTGTCTTACACGGCTTTTGAGTGATAGTGAAGATTTTAGTTGAGGAAGCCTCAGCTACGCCGTGTCGAGTTTCCCCGTTGCTCTCATCTCTGATTCATGATAGTAGGTTTATCTACGCTAAACTATGCCTTCTGCTCATCTTGAAACCCCTTGGCGGCTTCTAGCCATATTTCAAGACATTTTGCAACTTTTAATAGCGAGTTGATGCGGGTTGGAAATTTTTACTGTCATGTTGGAAATATATGAAGGGAAATCTGCTGTCTGTTGACAAGCAGACAAATCGCTGATAGTACTTTCTCATGTTATCTCCATGGAGGATTTACTTTGAAAAGAAATCTACTTTCTTGCTATCTGTCCAAGCACATGGAGTCGCGAAGAGTGCATATACCCCAGTCCTTGTTGTGTTGATTAACGATGTGGCCTATGCATAGTTATTCCAGAAAGCTCCAAAGTTACCGGTAAAAGATTAGTACGGAAGCTTAAACCATAAGTCATAGATTTACCCCGATCGTACAAGGATCCGAATGCATCCCTCGTAGTAAAATATATATATATACATATATATATATATATATACACATATTTTATATACCTCTACGAGGAAAGGTACAGCAGTTGATTCATATGCAACTCAGTAAGGACCGTCATAGCTTCAACTATTATATTCTAATCTGCACCTAGCACTAAAAGAAATAGGGTACGAGTGTACTCTACAGTTAGTTTCAGATCTATAAGGGTTGCACTTATAGTATTAACAGCATTAAATGACGAGGATCATGAGGGTGAGCTAGGCACATAACCAAGAACCAGCGACCTCGCATAGCTTCACCAGGCATTTCTCCTTGCTTGACCCTTGGATAAAACATATGTCTAATCAAGGTCCAGAAGGTTTATGCATACTTCCGAACAAGCATTTCCAGGCCATTTGGATCAGCACCCGTTAATTCGTCCAGCTTTTGACCATCTTTAAAGACCATGAAGGTTGGCATGGCTCTGATTCCACATTCTTGGGAAATTTCCTCCTGTTGGTCAACATCAACCTTGACAAACTTGATCCTACTGAAGTCCGCGTCGGAGGCCAGCTTTTCAAAGACTGGGCTGATGAATCGGCAAGGACCACACCATACAGCCCAAAAGTCGATTATAACGAAGTCGCCCGAGTTGATAAGAGATTGGAATTCGGAATAGCTAATGGAGCACAGTAAACGGTCAGTTGTATTCAGAGGGAGACTGGGAACTAAACACGATGACTCTACAAGACTTACCTGTTGAGAGCAGTAACAGCCATGATGAAGGTATTGACAAGGATTTGACTCTGGCTGGAAGGTAGGGTTCAGGAAGGGTAATTGTATCCCTAGACAAGGTTTCGATGGGTGTGGTTGCAAATAAAAGTTCGTGAAGGGAAGGGAAGGGAATGAATGGTATATATCAAGAAGGTTCGAGCTGCAGGTGACATATTTGGGCACTTATTTTTAGGCTCCATTTACTGTGCATTCTGCTTGTCGATCTCAAATAGATCTCTATCCCCCACCTCGCTCGGACCGTCGCAGGTGGAACATAATTGTGGTGAACTGTACAGCTGAATAGACACCAAAGTGGCCTATTGTCGAATCACCAAGCTCTAAACCGACACTAGCCGTGTCTAATGCATCCGGAGAAACTCTACCCCCCACTCTATTTATCATCTTGCCCCTCTCTCAGCCGTGCAGGTCCTTTTTTCTCCCCCGAGGAACGCCTCTCATTCCGACTGTGATACCTTATGATCATTCAACACTCCAAGGCATCAGTGAGACCGGGGATATATTTCCGCAGCATAGCTTTCCACTCCTGATCCTCAGAACTGAAACTAATTCCAGCAGAGAATCCCACCGCACTGAGAGATCATTCGAAGCCTCCCAATCAAGAATCCCAGTGACGTGGCCCTTCCCACCATGAGTGAATGTGTACGGTGTCGCAGGTGACATAGATCTCTTTCTTCAGTATTGCCTCCATCTCAGACCAAATCTCGTCGTCTGTTAAAAAGGGGCCCTGGGGAAGACCTAACTATTTATAAAAAGAACGGCCAAGTATAAAAACTGACTGTTTACAGATCTTAGCTGAAACTGTAGCTAGCGGAAGTAGCTTTAATAGTGAGCGGTCTGTCGGCTATGCTCTTTTTCTCATCTGCAAAGACTCTGCCCCAGACTTTATCAAGTGGCCTTCCTTGAATATGTTTTGACAATAGAAAATAGTGTCCCTAATTCTACTCCCAACCAATGAAAAATCTGTGAATAGAGGAATAGAAACGAAAGAGTTATTTAGAAACTGGATCTTTGGTACTTCAAAGATTGGAGCCTCATTAGACCGTTTTATGAGGATCATCTTAGATCCTAGAGACCAAGACACTCGGTAGCTAGCGCCATAGAACAACATGACATGGCTCTCGCAGCTGCAACTGCAAGCAGCACAGGGATTCATTCTGGTAATTTGGGTATCAAAATGGAGGAGGACGGGACTCGTACTTAGGTCAATCACATTTTCCATGGCAATAAAGAAAAATCATACGCTATGTCTCTAGATGACGCCTGTGCCAAGTCCCTTCTGGTGACACCAGTAGCGTGATCTTTAATACTGAACAGTATGAGATTATTTTTTTTGGGCAGACCCAGATATTCCAGCATTTGCCTATGGGTTTAGCGTCAGACTTCAAGGTCTGTTTCGTACTACAGATATAGATCCGGCGTCTAACGACTTCTATAAACCCACTGCTCGATCGCAAACCAGTCGCAGCAAGCAAAATGTTCTCTTAATGAGGCGCATATCCTATACAACTAGGAGGGGCTCTCCTTGTCGATATAACTATTGCAGTAAGCTTACTAACCTAGGATTTTGTCGGCCGCCGTCGGCCGCCGTCGGGTTCCAAGTGGGGGAAAGTATGGACCCTTATTCGTAAGTTCATTTATCATCGGCCTCCCCTCAGCCGCCAAACAAGACTCTCTACCAGGAAGTACACTTGCAGAGTTAAGACTTTAGGTTCGCATGTCGCTGGTGTCTAGATTATCTAGTCTTGCAATGTAAGAGAATCATGATATGAATACCTACCTCACCGGGGTTGCTGACCAATCATCCTCCCAGCTCGACCAGAAGCCGTGTTGTATAAATCGGGTAGGATATTTGTTCAAATATAAAAAGGCTCGTTGATCCCGCAGATATGGTAGCATCTCTCCCCATCATTCTCGTTTCTCATCCCATCACCTCTTAGAGTATCCCAAGGGTTCCCCAGCGCACAACAATGGCATCTTCGCTTGACTCCAGCACCATTTTTCGGGTCGATGGAATAGTGGCCGTCATTACTGGAGGAGGCAGTGGTCAGTATCATACATCATGACTGCCACCAAAGCCGCCTTTGTTAATATTCCTGTGACTACCTACAGGTATCGGTCTGACCATGGCCCGCGCTCTCGCATCTAATGGCGCACGCAAAGTCTACATCCTCGGACGTCGGCTAGGGGTACTTGAGAAAGCAGCCGAGGAGCACGCCAGCATCATCCCACACCAATGCGACGTGACATCCAAGGACGATCTCCAAACTGCTGTGGACCGCATCACAGCCGAGGTAGGCTACGTGAATCTCGTCATCGCCAACTCCGGCAGTGTCGGACCTCCAGCACGCTACAGCCCAGACGCTTCGATACAGGAATTGCGCCAGACCCTCTTCACCAACTTCTCCATGGACGCAATGAACGAAACCCTGCACCTCAACATCACCGCCGCCTTCTTTACCATGACAGCCTTCCTGGAGCTGCTAGATGCTGGCACCAAGAACGCTCTGCAAGGCGGCTTCGGCAAGCCCATCAAAAAGGGCAGTGACGTCCCGTCAATCCAGAGCCAGGTCATCTTCACGACTAGTATATCTGCGTTCAGTCGGCACTTTTCGTCTTCGCCCCCGTATTTGACTAGCAAGGCTGCAATCATGCAGGTGACTAAACAGGCTAGTAGTCAGCTGGCTAGGTTTGGCATTCGTGTGAATGCCCTCGCTCCGGGAAGTAAGTAAAACATGTACATTATTACTCTAACTGTGAGACTGACGGGCGACCCTTTCAAGTTTATCCCTCCGATCTAGCTTCCGTGCTGACACAGGGCCGCAAGCCGGAAGAGGAGGCATTCGACGACCAGAGATTTATCCCCGCTAGGCGTTTCGGTGGTGACGAGGAGATGGCTGGTGCAATTTTGTACCTTGCTAGTCGGGCGGGAAGCTTCTCTAACGGGTCCATTCTCGTCACTGATGGTGGTCGACTGTCGGTCATGAGCAGCACGTACTAAGGCCACGGCCTTGGGGAAGGTTAACTGTGGGGCTTTTTTTTTTTCAAGGCATGGAAATTAAATATCAATAGGCGCTGTAAGTCGCAATCAAACTGCAATATCTACATACAATCCGCCTATTTACGACATTTAGAAGAGAGGGGAGCAACGCAACATCGAAACCTAGTACAGTGAAATAGCAGTTCAATAAATATCTATCCAGTTACTATGTACACAGTACTGCTTACTATATACTATTAAGCCCTCCTCGGTATCTATGATATGGGGAAAGATTATGTTGATACCCTCTACGTTGGCGACGCTTAGTTAATATAACTAGTGTCAGCCCAGCGCTGCCAATCAGAGCCCAGGATCGTCGAGATAGAGACGGGCTCGTTCAGCTTCTCCGAGAAACTAGCGCGCTTACCCTTCGCTCCAGCTCCGGTGTTACCGTACTCCGCGAAGGTAACATTGTCAGTGTTAGCCTTGGTAGTCGACCACTCAGACCAGCCGGCCGAGTTAATCACATCACTCATAGAGGTCTTCTGGAAGAGGACGCGGGCATACTGGGACCAGGGGCGACCTGTTGGAAAGATTCATTGTTAGAAGAGAGGGGCCCGCGGAAATAAAGACCTAGAAGGCTGCGACACACCAAGATAGTAGGTACCCGAGGGGACGTCGTTGCCGGAAGCAGCAGCGATGTTAGACTTGTGGATCACGTAGTACGATATGTCGGTTTCAGAGCTGCGACCGTTGGCGGTGATGTAGCCAGAACTGGGGCCCTTGAGGACGCGGATGTCGCAGTCGTGGAACCAGGCGCGGGCATGCTGGCCGAAGATGAAGTCACTGGTTTTGGAAATGCGCGTAAGTTATTTCCTCGTGCTTTGGGGAATAGAGTGTAAGGGTGCATACACAGCGCCCTCGATCAGGGTGTGAGCGTAGACCTGATTTCCGCTCTGGGCGAGAAGGGTATCTATTTCACGACGGGTTAACAGGAATGCCTTGGCCCCGTGAATATGTCGTCCGTGACTTACCTTGATATCCCTTGAACTGGCATCCATAGTATCCCTGGCCATTTCCATAGGCGCTCACAGCCAAGGCTTGGTGGCCAACTTGGCCAGCGGTGTTGATAATGTTGAGGTTGTAGATGGAGGAGTTAGGGGAGTGGTTACGAACAGTGCCCATTTTGTTGGTCAGCACATACACATGCATAGGGAGACTTTTTGCAAGAGGGAAGTCTCACCAGTCTCGTCATCGTTGGCGACATCGGCTAACTTGATGTTGTGGGTGATGTTGACCAGGTTGCCCGAGTAGCTGGTAGTACTATTATTGCATTGTTAGATGAGAAGATTGCTGACCAGCGCAACAATCATGAGACATACTCATCGGTCTGGCCGTAGATGATCAACTCTCCGGCCAAGGATGGAATGTACACCTGTTCGTCGTAGGTACCCTCCTCGATGAAGATGGTCTGGGTTGAGGTTGAGGTGGTGCTCAAGGCCTTAACAGCAGCGCTGACCTATTCAATTACGAATCATACATCAGTATACACCCAAAAACATACGATTTGCGTTTCACATGCTCACCGTGTCATAATCACCTCCCGACTTAGCAACGACAATGGCACCCTCAGGAGCCGTCATGCGGCTCGCGGCCAGAGCGGTCGTGGCAAAGAAAATGGATGCCAAAAATGATTTCATCATAATTGATAGCTACTGGGAAAAGATCAACAAATTAAAGTTTGCCGTTAATAGAGGAATCAAAGCGCATGGCGAGACCTCGTCTTTATAGGTAGGCATTTCTCAACCATCATTTAACATGGAATGTGGATTGATGTCTCGATCAGGACCTCCGAGTGGAGACACCGGTGGGGATTCTTTAACATGTTAATGACTATATGTGAAATAGCTAAGACTCTTCAGGTACTCTGGTGTCTTGGGAGAAGCTTCTTTAGGGCTAGTGGACCCCAGCCCTTCTCCAATCGGAGTTTTTCTACACGGCTCCTTAATTAGCATTGATATTAACATAATTAATTCAAATGGAGATTGCTGACTCTACTAAACACCATCTTCATTATAGTCTCAATAAAAACCATCGTATTCTAAAAATGTGACTAGGAAGAATTAAGAGAAGCCATCAAATCATATCGAGCCCCGAGACCTCCGAGACAGGGGGTTTTCCAGAACTCCAGGATGTTTGAGCCTTGTGGGGATTAAAATATGCTAGCAGAGTCAGACTCTTTTTTTTCTCCGTCCGCAAACTATTCCTTCTTTCTTTCCCTCTTGAGCATTCTCCGGAAGCTCAGATTGGTGGGATTTGAAATATGCACCCCGGCAAATCAAGCTTCATAGTCAAACCTTAGCCAAAGATTGACGTATACCATAAGGACTGAGTTCAATCCCATTGAGTTAGAGATAAGTGGCAGAATTTTCTTCTTTAATTTCCCCGGGTACATTTGCCGGCTGCATACTGAGAAATTCTTCTTAGTCCCACCCATGTTGTCCAGAAGGCACATCGTCCCTTGAAGCCAATGTCAGGGGAATTTCGACTTGCTCAAGGATGTTTAGCGTCACCAACTGTCTCGCTTGGCAGGAATGATTCAAGTAATCGTACGTTAAAGGATAGGATCGACAAGTGGAACTAGGTCGTGGGTCGAAGATACAATTGTCGTAAGGAAAAATAAGGAATTTCAGCTTTTGGGTGAACGGGAGTTCTCAAGGGACCAGAAGTATTGCCACTTTTCAGAAGACAACAATGTTCCATTCTGTAATACCTCAAGCGGATTAAATGACAAATCATAGGTAATCATGTTGTGCAAAGGTAACTAAACTTATCACAAGCCGCTTGTGCTAATAAAAGCTCGGGAAAATGGAGATGTGCTGCAGAAGTACTGCCCTAGAGCTAGTTGGATCTTTCACCTGGACCAGTTGTATGATCCATCAACTAAGTAGGAGGAGCAAATTGAAAGAAATGAATAAACCAGTGATGATATAAGTGGATGAGGTCCAAAAACCTCCTACGCGAAACCCGTAGAGGCTAGGCTTAAGCATAAATTTTTCCGACTGAGAATACCCAGAACCACTGGACATCCTCGAGGACTCGCGGGAATCGAGGTTTCGCTTTTGGTTTCGTCGCATTTCACGAAATTCACATCCCTCATGAAACATGTCTTAGAATCTTTATCAGGGCCAAAAACCCAAAGCGCACCGTTAAATTGTCCAAGCCCTCTTTATGGGTGTTGGGGCCAAGCAAGAATCTTTTGACGAATTGACCATGAGTTCGCCAAATGACTGTGTCACAGACTGGAATCTGAAGTGTCCTATCCATGACGCCTTCAGTTTCAGTTTCCTGTTACTTTAGATCAAACGATAAATAGACAGGCTACTTAGATTTGAGGTGGAACTCAAAGAAGATAGGAACATAGGAACATTCGAGAGACACACGAGCTATAAAAACATGGTTGAAGACTGTCGATACTGCTCACACCAAGACTCAAATTGAATTTCAACCAATAGTAGTCTATACAAGACGCATGATTGTGGGCCGTGGTGCAGTTGTTCCCATGCTTTTCCTGGACCAGACAAGCATATTGGTGATGTAACTGATAGAAAGCTTCCTTGAGGATGACTGCATCAAAAAAAAGGCATCAGAAGACATTCTCTTCTTACTATTGTCAAAAACGTGGCTATAAACATGGCGCATATTGAACCATGGGAAATACAAATCAGTTTAGTCGCATATCCTCGGGGATCACCAAGACGAGTGTCCTCGTATCCTAGCGTGAGGTCCTCGATTGATTTCGAACGGTCCAGATCTTTGTCGATAAATGGGCATGACATTTTACTTTACCTTTGCTACACTAACTTTACCTTAATGTAACATGACTTGCCCCGTATACATACTCAAAGTTCATATATTGTCGATCATATGTATTGACAAAACTTTTGGTTTCCCAAAGTATCCATGTCTCATTCTGATGGCAAAAAGCAAATTTGGGCATAAGGGTACAGTTTGAGCTGCCCTACTGACACAAACAAGCCGGTGCGAATGCGACCAACTTTTGATGTCTCCGAATCCATACCCGTTCCATCTTGAAGCAACCAGCTATTGTCCTTCATACACTAAATCGCCAAATATGACACTCCCGCACCCTTGATGTCACTATCACCTAGGCCTTCTACACTCCAATTGAACCCATCCTTAGTGACGTTTTCCGCCTTAGCTTCGAGTCTCAAGTTGTGCTGATTGCCAAAGTTGAACGACTTCAGAGCTAACGTCACCTCAGGAACTCTATCAAATGTTCCCTGAGGGAACGCCACCCTCCCACCTTTCTTCTGCGACTCGGATTGGCCTGATAAACCAGACGGGGTAGAAGAATCAACGGCACCGCTTGCAATGCCAGTCTTGGTTCCTGGATACGCAATCCAGGACGCGGTCCCACTATACAATTTACTATCACCCCATGTATCAATATGTAAATCAAATCCTTCGGTCGTAATATTCGAAGCGTGCGCTGCAATGCGCCAGTCCTTGTTCTTATCCATGTCCAAGCCCTGAAGCCAGATCACAACCTTTGGAGGTTCTGGGTATGATCTCTCGAATATCACCCGCTTGGTGTTCTGCCGACTAGGATCATTCCACGGGTGTAGGTCAAGAGTGTTAAATTCACCGATCTGGAACTCAGTATCAGTGCTAGAAACTTCGAACCACGCCGCTCCCGCGGAGTAGAGCACTGTATCAGCCCAAGCGTCAGTGTGAACAACAAAATCATCCTTTGTAATGCGCTCGGCGTACGCCTTGACACGGATGTTTGTGTCCTTGCTGAGGTCAAGCTCAGTCAGGCCGACGGCAACGCTTGGAGGCTCCGGATATGCAGATTCAAATGCAACTACCATCGAATTGAGCGCTCCCGGCGTATTATCGTTTCGACTCGCCTTAGTACTGAACCTTCCTACATCACGAGTCTGCTTAGGATAGAGGATGCCTACGAACGATTTATCAGTTGCCGAGAGAACTATGTTGTTCGGGGTCTCAAAGTCGCCAATGGTAAGCTCGTTTGGAATTCGATAGAGCATAATCGAATAGGGGTCAAAGCTGCTGTAGTTTGCTCCTGACGGCGGGTATCTCTCAAAGAGATTGCGATCGACCATTTCTTTTGTCCAGTTGTTCGGTGGCCCCCCAAAGTAATCGTACACCTTCTTCCTGTCCCAGGGGATATTGGCCGTGGGGCTCATGTGCTCATGAATTAGTCCAAGGGCATGTCCAAACTCATGGAGGGTGGTTCTCGAAAACTCCTCGTCCGTAGTATTATCGTCAAACCATCCGAAATTCATGGTCGGTTTATCAGGCGCGATCTGGAGGTTATGTCTGCCAAGATAGGACCAGGATCCTGCTCCTTTAGTGAAATCGACTCTTATCTCCGCTTTTGGAGAATCATCGAATATAAAGTCGATTCTTGCATACTTTTCCCAGATTTGAGCGAAATACATGACCTTTCCCTTGACAAAGGTATCCCCTGAGAGGAATCGTACATGAAGCTGTATACCAGGGCGCCAGTAAGCAGACCTGTCCATAGCAAGCTCTGGCGGCCCAGAGCCTAGCGCCGGGGGCCTCAGGTTGCCTTGGGGAAGCGTTGAATCGTCCCCAGGCGGTAGAAGCTCAAGGCAGATCTTCACGTCCTTTGTCATCGTGCCTTTTTAATCTGTTGACGTCTGATGTCTTTAAAAACTGACTCTGACAATGATCGGATTGTCCATCCTAACGACACTGGATATTCCCCTTCATTTATAATTCGGGCCATGGACAAAAGTGAGTGCTACCAAGAAGATGCACCGTCCAGGAAAGATGAAAGAGAAAAAGCAAAAGCAAAAGCAAACTGAAAACTGAAATTGTAACAAGTGCGTGACATCTTCAGACCCTTCTAGACCTAGATGCAAGACCTAGATGCACGACCTCAATCTTGGTAGCTTTGCGGCAATCCTAGAAGTAGAACAAAGTCACCGCCCACTCGGGAGAGGATATATATAAGTTTTATTGAATCCAAAGTTATACTCCGATTAGAATTTCTCAGAATGCAGTCTGGTGATAGTATGATAAAGCTTGGAGTGAATCGTCATGCAAGTGGGATTTCGCAGGAATAGGCTCAACACTGGGGTTAATTTCTAAGTTTTATGTGAATTTAACACCACCCTCAGGTGATCTTTCCCAACTCGTGATTGTGTTTCACCATAGAATACATAATCCTAGGTTACCTTGCAGCAACGAGTATTATTCCAGGAAGGTAATCTTTCTCTCAAACGGTTTATTATGAATACGGGAGAAGGCAACCCCAAAAAAATCGCAGCCTGAGGTCGTGTAATTATAGAAACTTCCCAGATTTTCTGTTAAGAACTTGACCAGTAGCCTGTCTGTGTATTCGCTCTGCTAGATTGCCTGCCCGAGCTTGCACCCTGATACAGATAGTGGTTTATAATAAATATTCCCGGGCTTATTATTAGCTATTTATTCTCCCCGAGACTTTTAAGTGATATTACAGGCGTAGATTAGAGTTACTTACACAATTCACCATAACACGCAAACGTGAGAATATCTCTTTGTTTCTGTACTCTCTACATCCTTACAAATGCTCGGTCATACTCCCCCAACTGACATTCGAACGGCATTCTTTCATCTCTACTAGCCTCGCGCGGGAACACACCGAGAGCCATCGAGAAAGAGATAGGTCAGAAGACCGTCTCTGTGGCGAGTGGTTCTCTCAGCAACTTAAGAGATCTGTGGGAACAGACGACTCTACAGCCCTTACTACCGACCCTACCATGTAACAACAAGACCATTAAGATCCTGTAAGCATGGCTTCCGCAATACGGTAGACCAACTATCATTCTTCTTAGGGGTAGCAGGAGCCAAGGACGCAGATGGCAGCTCGAAAGCAGGCACCATCGTCAATCGCGTGTTGCGACAACGAGTTGGGAAGAGACAGCAATGAAGGTCACAGCAAACTCGAAGCTGTCAGGAAAGGTTAAACAGTTCAACTATAGAGGAAGACTACCTACCGATTGGAAACGTCAAGTGAGGAACCGGAAGGTGGTGTCTCGACCGCTTTGGACAACGAGAGTGTGAACGAACCACAACGCAGAGGGCTGGGAGAGCCGTTAGTAGCGCTGCTGAAGCTCCACATGAGTTCACGCAGCCTGACCCAGAAATGAGGCCTACTCTGTTGCTCGTTGAGGGGGATGAGAAGAAAGAAGAGGATCTACATAATTTGAAGCCGATGGTATCGGAAAGGTCTCCAGATAACAGGTCCTCTCAGTGATGTTGAACTCACTGACCGTATAAAGCAACTTACTGTACCGGACGATGTCTCGGATTCGGCGGGATACAGGAACTATTTGGTCCAATCAACCCCGTACCAACTCTGCGTTACCCTTCGAGCAACGTGTTTATCCAAAAGTTTAAATTCTACTTTCCGAGTCTAGAGCCAAGGAGAGTCTGGTCTGATTGCTCATACCTCATTTATCTGTGCTTTGATGCTTTTACGAGGCAGAGGCTACGCTAGGAATATCTCCGGCCACGGCTGCACGTGAATCGATAACTTGCTATTGGTGTATAGAATCTCATCAACAGCATTTGTGATCCAATCCTGGGCCCTACGAATCAATCCAGAGATACAAATCATTAAAGGACTAACGATACATGCTCAGTTAGTGGGTGTCCGTCTCCCATCGCTACCAGCTCTACTTTGACCAATGGCAGAGGCGGGGGATCGCGGTAAGTGGTCGCAATCAAGATGATTGTTGCTGTTTGACGTTTACCACTTTACCTATGGTCTCTCGGTCAATAACTCCGTCTAATAATTGACCAAAGGAGTCTGGGTCGAATGTGGATGATTGCACACCAGGAATGTTGTCAACATTTGTGCACGTGCATTCGAAAACCGGGGAATTTAGGGCATTCGGGTCGTTCCATTAGCACCTCGAGCATCTGCCAATTGTAATTCCATTCCCACTAGAATTATCAGTTAACTCTTGCAATATTGCTGGAAGTCAGAAGGATACATACAGTTTTAGAGGTACAAGCCCGCTCATTAGATTCCAGCCAAGGTAATTGTTCAAGCCGAGCTGTGATTGTATAGTGCCGCACGTTCCTTTAATGTACGCTGTACTGCCAAGCTGAAGTATTGTGATCCCTCGACAATCACGGAGCAGTTGTAGCTGAGGGTCAGGCGGAGGAGCAGCTGGACGGCACGGAGGAAGCTAAAGGGTCAGACTGAGCAGACAAACGATACGGATCCTCTAGTGGTATGCGTCTTTTGACCAGCGTGAATGTACCATGACTAGTCGCCAAGCTACTACATAGAAAGCGACAATGGTCCAAATTCGATACATCCTTACGAAAGAAAAGCGAATAGTACTGGAGAGAGAGAAAGCTGAAGATCTTCAAATGATAATCACCCTGCCCAGGGGCTTTATTAGATTGCTTATGTAGATCTTGATAGCTGTACTTTTTATTGATTATTCCCTAACTTGACTCTCTTTGAATCACTATATTTAAATACTATATTACTTGAGAAGCAGTGGTTGTCTTTGTTAAGACGGGTCAGGACGCCGGGCAACAGTGCTCGAAGCGGTTGTGATTAGTAGAGCCATTCAGGAGTTGGTTGGTTGATGTTGTCGAAGGGGGATAAGATGTGAGCCTATGTGTCTCAAAATAGCCTGAGTGTTTGTCTGACGCCCCTGGATCATGGATTTAATTCATTGTGCAACAGCTGGTATTCCAAAAGGTTTGTCCGCTCAAAACAAAAGGTATCCTTCTTTGTTTGCTGCGCTTCCACAAAGGTACTGGACTGGCCTCAACTCCCGGCAAAGATTTCCCTACCTAGTTATGGAGTTAGATTAGAGTTAAATTTGACTGGTTATGAACATAAGATTGGGTTGAGAATTCACTGTAGGGTCTTCCAAAGTTAGAGTACCATCATATACGATACCTTAAATTAGTGAACTTGACGAGTCAAACATAGTCAATCCGCAATAGTGTCGAGTTCTGCCTACATTATAATAATCACCGGGGGAAACAACCCTCACTTTCTGTATCCAAAACCCCACGGTTGCGGAGAAAATTTCGAGATCGTCAGTTGGATAGTCAACCCCACATGTACCAGGATTCAGCCTGAATTTCAGATCATACATATTGAACCTTCCAATAGAGTCTAGAATCAAGGAAAATCATGCAGTTGTAAAACTCCTCCACCAATCCCCCGGCGGCTTCTAGCCTGAATGTGATTTCAGTTTGAAGCAGACAAGCAGGACATAACGATACCACAAGCATTTATCCTTCGCTTCTTTTTATAGCCGTATAAAGGGTCGAAACGGGGAGCCTTATAGCTTATGGGTTCCGCAAGGTTAAATTTATGAAAGATTAATAAAGCTGCTCCATCTTGTCTTTGCCCTTGTGTCTCACGAAGCAAGGTTAGGTTGACAATCATATGCGCGTTAGGAAGACCATCATCCACCGTAGAATACTTATGTTTTCTCTCTATACACATTGATCACCCTTGATTATGCCCTATAAATCACAATGTGGCTACCATTGGCCTTCCTGCTGGTTTCTTTGCCACTACTTTTACTCATCAATCTAGTGGTGGTTGGTGAATCTGCAGATGCATCCTCAAAGAAAGCACTAAACCCAGACAATTCGACTCACGATAAGAGATCAGGATCCCCTCAGAATGCGGTACATAAATCACAGCATTATCTCAGAACGACCCAAAAGAAACATGACTATCGTTAACCGCTTACAGGTCACATGGGATCAACACTCTGCTCATCAACAACGAACGTATAATGATCTTCTCAGGTGAATTTCATCCTTTTCGTCTCCCCGTGCCTAGGTTATGGCTAGATGTCTTCTAAGATCAAAAGCATGGGCTTCAACGGTGTCTCCTTCTATAGCAGCTATGTCAGTCAATAATCTCGACCCCCAAGCAGAGTTCCCTGTTCCAGAAGGAATCCTCAACTACAACGGGATCAACCAGGTAGCAGGGACACTGGGGTCTGGACGAGAGAGCGGTGTTGGCCCATCTGGTTTGCAACTTGTGGCGTCGCGGTGGAATGGCCACGATACGTGGAGAGGAGCGTACTAAAGCGAGATCAGCCGTGGTATCTTACCTTCGAGGCTTTACATTGTCCCAGATCTTCAGGATTTGATCATCCTCTTGTAGGAGGGGTCTTTTACTCGAACCCTAATCGTGGGCCCAACAAAGGTAGGGTGTCATGGTGGGCCAAATATTGCTCTTATAGCTAGTAAATATTTGAAACCAACAAAGGAAGGTTCTTAATTTACAGATACAACTATCACATCTTCGAATACCCAGCGTTCAGTAGCAAAAGTCCTGGATTTGATGTAATTTTCTAGTTCTCCCATAGAGATACTCTGCAAGCAGTGTATAAATATTCTGATAGGAGATTTCTCAGCGCACCAATTGGCACAAGGCTGTGTGCAACAACAGGATTCTGTTACTTTGGCCTTGCGTACGGATTCCACCAACATATATCTATTGCAGGGTGATGTAGATTACATGCATGAATGAATAAACTTTCCGGCCAGTCCCGTCTCCTCATAAATCGAGACAGACGAGCCTTTTGGATTCGAATCCCGGCTGTCGAATAATGGATCCTCGATCCCACACTGC